GGGGCCAGAGGACATGCCTTTCTCCTCGAATGAGGGATTAGTATCATCCTTCATCCGGTAGTGAAGCTTAATGCGTCCGCTGTTCCAATGAGGGGTAACCTTCGAGCTGTACTCGGAGGACAAGGTGACTGGAAGAGGTTGAATGAGGATACCCTCCACGTTATACCCAAAAAAAAAAAATGTATATTTTTTTTTTTATGAAAATTTATTTTTCGTCGAAAAATTTATTAGTATTTTCGACATAATATTTCAGGTAGATAATTCTGTCGGTATTTGAAACTTTTTTAGTAGTGTCACATTTAAAAAATATAGATAAGTAATTTCAAATATTTTCCCTCCAACCCCCCAAATTGGGGAACTTTAATTTTATGAACAATAAGGGTTTTGGAGGATTTTGTGAAAATCCTCAATTCTTTCCTCCTTTTTTTTTTTAAACTTACAAACAAAGGAAATGATTATTAAAATCCTCCACTTTCTTTCATTTTCCTTATAAAACTAACTCCCAGACAATGTCTTAAGATTTTGGGTTGAATAAATTTTTCACATAGTATCAGAGCTTCAATAACCACAAAGTCACGAGTTCGATCCTCACCGCCCCCACTTGTGAAATTGAATAAGTATAAGGTAAACGAAATAAAAATAAAAATTGAGCCTATGTAATATCCACGCTTCAAGTCCAAAGAGTTCTTGCATGAAAAGATATGTTAGAAAATAATATAAATTATTAAAAATGCCATTACTCAATACCACTCGATACCTTAAAATTTTGAGTTGAAGTAATTATTTACATGAATCATCCATAGAAAAAACACTATATTACATCGGCTGATAGGGAACCAGAGATAAGATATCACATTAAAATCGCAACTAGAACCACCAGATGTTTTCATCTACTTTTCACAATTCTTAAGAAAAAGTATAATTTACTTTCATTAATTTAGGATTATGCGTGGTTTGATTTTTAAATTTTAAAAAAGCGTAACATGACACCTAATCTTTTTTAAATGTATATTTTCATTTAATCTTTTTCTTAAACGTTTATTAACATGATAACTTTTTTAACTTTTAAGATCAAAGTGTATTAAACTTAATAAGTTGAATGTGAAAATTAAACATATTTATTAAGAATTTTAGCACAAAATAATCACTTGATCTATGCGTAACAATTTTCTTTAATTGATAAAATAATTAAAATAATGTTATACAAAGTTATTATGTGATTTATAGAGTGTGGAATTCACTAATCATCAATCAATTATTATTAATCATCTCAACTAAAAGCTCACATGATTAAGTGAAGCCATTTTAATAGTTTTATATATGATTTATCTAACCCACCTATTCACGTAAAAGTTTTTAAGCTTCCAATGTGGATATTGAAAATGCTCTTTTTTTTTTTTTTGTGATCACACAAGCTATAATATCACGGTAAAGATTCATCTCACCTAAAAATTCAAATTGTTAGGTGAAGGTTCTATTTTAATGATTTTATGTATAATTTATCTATCGTGGGCATAGTATGAGTAACATTTCTCTAATAACATAAGCTCGTGAAAAATGTAATATTTGTATATCATGAGATGACGAGTTTTTTTTTTTTTAATCTCTTGTTCAATGTTCATTCTGGTTTATTTTAAGTTGTAGGAAACTGACATGTATTAAGCGACATATACTACGAACAGATATTAGGTAAATATACATTTCACATTCAGATATGTTCAGAGTCACAATGCATAAAGATATTGGTTTTGTAGGATAAGTCGTTTATGTCTGGGGGTGCTAAACGAACTAGGGGTCTTTGACTTGGCTTGTGAAGGCTTGAGCTTACATGTCTAAAATTAATTATTGGTACCGAGCTTAGACTTGTATAAAAGCTCGTTTAGTAAAAAAGCCTCAGTTAAAGCCTCTTAGGCTGACCTAGTATTTTATTTTATTTTTTATACTACTTGTAATAGCCCTTTCTTTCTCCTCAATCTATTTCACCCTATTTTATTGGCTAAACAGACTTTTTGAAAGATTTTATTCTATATTATGTTGTTTGGATATAAATTGAATTTATGAATATTTATGGAATTACTAGTGTTGTTAATTGTATTTTCTGTTTGGATAAATTTTTGTTGTTTTATTTTTTTTAAACAGGCTAAACCAGACTTTTATTTTTTGTAAATAAATCAGGACACATGCCAATAATTATATTTATAATAGATGACAGGATTTGTCAAGTTAACATATTTAAACACAGACTTAACCTTTTAAGATAAAGCTCAACTCGGCTCGACTCGTTAACACTCTAAATTCTGCTGTAGCACAGAATTCGCTTAAAAACCCATTGAAACCCACTGGGAGCAGTTTGGATGGACTTTGAATCACCTTTGTGTCAACATAAATGAGATTATACAGGAATTGTGAGTGCTTGTGTAATTTTTTGAATTAAATTTTTTTAATTTCGAGGCTAATAGAACTGATTTTGAGAGAAGTAAAAATTTTAGATTATTCGGTGAGTTTATCGTAGACTTTCAAAAACATATAATTTTAGGAAAAAAACAAATTGTATTATAGTATAACTATGTACTATCTATAATACATAGTGTTGAAAATTAAAAAAATATAACTTGTGCTATTTAAAAAAAGATACACTTAACTTATAATTCTATTGATTGTACCCATAAGTTGAATATGCAACATTTCACTTACAAATCTCTCATATTGATTATAAATATACATTATAGGTAGTTTTTGTCATGCAGGTTCAGGGAAAGAGTCTGTAGCAGGGGACCATCATCAATAGGCTAAATTACTTCAATCATAACAAGTGGATCCGATACCATATCTCAATTCAAAACTTTAAGGCATTGAGTTAATGAGTCCTTCTACTTATATACTCTTCACTTAGTCCATTATTAACCAATATATGACTCATCACACTTGAATAACCTAACAATCTCCCTTTCAAATGTGAAACTCACCCCTAAGTGTGAAACTCATTATTAGTATGCTCCCCCACAACCAAGTAGGGGTGTTCGCGGTTTGGATTGGATCGATTTTGGAAGCAAAAATCATCCGATCCATTTACAAAAAAAAAAAAAATCATCCGATCCAATCCCTTCGGTTTGACCATGTAATCATCCATTTGGTTTGAACTTTTTTTCAAATCCGATCCGATCCAATCCAATTTTTTTCGGTTTGGATTGAATCGGTTTTCGATTTTTTAAGAATTCTAAAATTTATTTCATGCAGATAATATCTTTTGTATATATATATATATATATATATATTGGCTTTGTAAAAAAATTTGAAATGTAAAAGTATCAGTAAACGATAATATAGTTTTTTTTGGGGGGGGGGCAATGAGATATGAAGCTCTACGCAGATAAAATTTTGTAGATGAGATGTGACTAGATTTTTTCTTGGGTTTAGTTGGTGGGTTAATGATGGGTTTAGAAATTTTTGGATTATGATTGGAGAAAGACCAAAGTAAGTAGAGGGAAATTAATATATTGGATCGATTTTCATTAAGCAATCTGAAAATCGATCCAATCCAATTAAAAGTTGCGGTTTTTGTTCGATTTTCGGTTTTTCGGTTTTCAGTTTGTTCGGTTATCGATTTTTCGGTTCGGTCTCCGCGGTTTGAATCGGTTTGGATCGGTTGATGAACACCCCTACAACCAAGTACTATCTAAACTCGCCTTCTAGCCAATAATCACCAGGCTAACTCGAGCCTAAACCAGCTCGGATACCACTGCCAGACGAGTCCATGGAAAGTCCGTGGCGGAGGATCAACACCAATGTTGAGTTTCATACTTGAGGGGAAGATTGTTGGAGTATTCAAATATGACGAGTCCCACATTGATTAGTAATGAGTTAAGTGAATATAAGTGGAAGGACTCATGAACCCAATACTTTAAGATTTTGGGTTGAGATGTGGTGTCGGACCCACTTTCTACGGTTGGTGTAGCCTAGCCCATTATTGGTGTCCCCCGCCATAGACTCTCCCTTGGTTCCAGATGTTGAGTTTCACAGTTAAGAGAGAGATTGTTGGGTTATTCAAGTGTAATGAGTCTCACATTGGTTGATAATGGATTAAGTAAAGTATATATAAATGAGATGATCTATCAACCCAATGCCTTAAAACTTTAAATTAAGATATAATATCAAATCCACTTGATATAACTTAGTTTATTAATGATAATACTATGCCATGAGCTCTCCTCTGTCGGTTGACAATTGTCAAACTCAGACTTCTTAATTTATGAAGAGATTTTTTTTTGGTATGTCAAAGGGGATTTAATAGAGATATATAAGAAAATATTGTTTTTCATGATAATATCCCCTATCCACACTCAACTGTCAAGGTTTGATGTGACTTCTGATCAGTTAATTAATAGTATTACACACAAACATGATAGACAGGAAGAGATTCAACTACCTTTATGAAGTGTAAATTTTTTAATAAACATTATCAATTGTAATCAAACAATGACGTTACACATATATCCAAGTATTAAAAATATTACAGTAGATATAAAAATCTTACATACCTAATTGAGCTCATTATTTATATACAGTATTCATGGCCAAACATGTTTAGATACATCGGTGGACGAACGTGTCTTTAACACTAAAGTTAAAACCATTAACCAATAAGACAAGAGTCTTTTTCGTGTTTGAAATTGAAGACGAAGGGGGCCAAGTCGGTATTCTGTAGCCTGGAATGGATCATTTAAAATAAATGCGTGCTGTGAAATTTCTTTATAGTGGATGTAGAATTATTTTTACCTAATCAAGTTAAATCCTGTATTTTAATCTGTTAAAATGTCACAAGTTTATTCCCAACAGAAACTTCCTCGAGACCAACATAAGCAAACGCAATCCCTCGTTTCTGATTTTCCTTTTATCCTTTTAAGTTGAAGCACATGCAAATGCAATGCAAGTCTACACACTGTTCCGCGTACACAAGATAGAGTCAAAAAAACAATTCAATATTTCAGATGTACGTGTCCCGAACCGAAGCACTTAATATTTTAAGGCCCCCGCACACATAGTCATAACTCATAATAGACTCATAGTCATAGAAACAATAATACAAACACTTGGTGCTTGTTGGTTATATACTTACTTATATCAGTTATATACCCCTCTCTCTCTCTCTGAGAAGAGAAAGTGAGAAACCAAACCCTTTTTTTATTTTCCGAAGAAGATGATACAAGAAAGACAACAAGGTGCAGGTGCACCACATGGTATCCTTCTGATAATAGTGGTAGCAATTGTGGTGATTGTGCCTTCTCTTATTGGGGATCAGGGAGAAGCCATAACGGGAGCAATATCGGAGCTTCTAAGCCCACTGGGTCTCATCCTCCTTCCCATCGTTCTTCTCCTCACCATCCAGTTCCTCTCCTCCGATCGTGGCTCATTCATCGCTACCCTTTTCTCCACCGGCGAACCCGACAGCATCCACCGAGTTAGCGGGTCACCCGTCGGCGTTGCCCTCTTTCTCCTCCTCATTCTGTTCCTTTTGTACAACCGGGTATCCATCTTCGGCGGCGGCGGCGATTCCGACGAATGAAAGTCAAAATGTTTTCCAGATCTGGGTCTACCAGTTTCTTTTTTTATTTTATTTTATTTCTCATGTATGAACTTGGAATTGTGGGGATGTGCTAATTGCGAGGTTATTGTATTTAATAAACGATTACATAGAATTGAAGGTTGCATTTAATTGCTTTAATTTTTGCATTTTTTTAATTTTTTCTTCCGCACATGGATTGTTTTGTTTTGTGTAAAGCCTAATTTATTTTTGTGCGGAATTCGAAGTTCCTTTAAATTTGAATTTAAAAAAGGAGTTAAAAATGCCTCAAATACGTGTTGGATACAAAATGAAAACGATTCAAGGGAGGGAAAAGGAAATAAAGGCCTAGACCTAGAGGATTTGATTTGAACATTTGAAGTTGATATCCGTGATGAGTTAGTGCAAGAACGTTTATTTGGTGCAGGGTTGCCATTGCTTTTTCTTACTTTTGTGTGTTGTTGGAGTGTACTTTGAGACTTGAGTACAATGGGAGTAGGTATAAAGAAAAGAAATAGGTAGTTCTTATTAAAAAAAGAAAAAAAATAAGGATATAAGAAAAGTAATTATAAAGATAAAAATAATATAAATTTATTATTTTTTTTATTTAATAAAAAATGGGAATTGTTTTTGTCATGTTATAGGAAAATAATATTCATTTCCTGCACACACAAACATAGAGAGAAGAAAGAAAAAAGTGATGAGAATAAATAAAAAAAGTGGGACCCATGTGCTTTTATGTGTCTGTAAAAAAGTGATACATTTTCTTACAATAAGATACTTGTTTTTTTCATAAAAAAATATATCAAATTGGTACATTCGTAATATTGAAAAGTTGTTGACGTTTAACGCCAGCTGCGCTGACCCTTACTTACTGCACTGTTTTGTAATGTGTGCTTTGCAGGACGTGGAAACTGTATCCTAAGACGTGTGCCCTCAGCCCATTGGTCCTTTCATTTGCTTCGGCTCACATAAGGACGGAAATTTTTACAATATTTTCGTCTCATTTACTTTTTCATATAAACATCAATGCTAATACAATAAGAGGTCAACATTTTTTATTTAACACAAGGTTAGAAAGTTTTCCACAGATACATAATTTTAATGGGTTTCACCATAAATAAATAACAAAAAAAATAAAAAAATTATTACACGTAAAACAATTTTTCACTAACATCAAAAAACAATTCTCCTATTAAAGGAGAAAGTGTTTTGCCATACAATAATATCTAAGAGAAAAAAATACTCTTTAAAGTTTAAACACAGGTGTTTGAGTTTGATTGAAAGTAGTAGTATGAAAAATACACTCTATATGGACAATACTGTTTCTACATTTTCATTTTACCTATTTCATGAAAGTAAAGAACCAAAAAGTATTTATTTATTCATTGAAAAAATATATTTGTCTTTCAAAGGATATAGAATTATATCATTTGAAAAGAAAAAAAATACATAAATTAATATTTTTATTTAAAATTTAAATTAAAAAAAAATCACTGATTTTTCTCTCTATAATTTCCATTATTTATATCTTTTAAAATAAGAAACATCGAACGCTTATTTATTTCCTTCTTCTTGTTTATAGAAGAGATGTATCATGTGTGACTGTTATAAGGAAAGGGTGGTAGAAAGAAGCAACATTTGCTTACCAAAAAAAAGAAAGAAGCAACATTTTTGTTTTTAGAGGCGCCCAATTTTCAAAACGAATCAAATTAAAAGCAGTTTTCTATTAGGGATTGCTTTTTCTTATGTCATTGGAGACAAGACTATCTCCTATAGAGACATCTTCAAGTGGGTCCTACACTATAACAAAAAGAAAAAAAAATAAAAATTGATGGCTCAAATTTCGAAGAGTCTATGGCATGAGGTAAGCTCTCTCCAATGACATAAGAAAAACATTACCCTTTCTATTATGTGTAAAATTGAGAGTATATCTTTGAAAAAAAGAAAAATACACGAATTTAACATTTAAAATTGCCATCAATGATAGTAATGGTGGGCCCATAATTTTTTTATGACGAGAAAAAAATAAAAGTATTTATAATACAATATGATCTAATATAAAAACATTAGAAGAATTTTATTGTAGAATAAAATAATTCTAGAATTTTTTATATTATAAACTCTTTTAGATCTGTGCTAAAATTTAAAATAATTTTTTTCAATATATTAAATCAAAGAATCGTCAAGAAATTAGTCTTATATTTTTTTTTTTGGTAATCAATTAGTCTTATATTTTATTTTGAAGTCTATTCTTCATTATTTTCATTACTAAAAAAAACTCTTTCAATAGTTATAATAGAAACCTGGTGAATGAGTGCAAATCTAATAACTCTATTAACAAAAGGGTAAATTATTAACTTTACAATTATTGTTAGCCCTTGATATATGTAGTTGATAAATTCTTCAAATATGGATGTTTTAGAATGTCTTAAAATGCTATAACTCTATTTTTAAGTGCAAATTTTCATGTTATGTGAAATTTTCATAATAAAATTTATCCATTAGTTTGCAAATATCATCACTAGTAAATTACTTGTACCTGATTTATCGGGAAAAAAAAATGACTTGTACCCATTTCTTAAATGTAAAACCATGCTCAAAGCAAGTGTTAGAGATATATAAAACTATTAATGTAGCTTCACCCAACATCTTAAACTTTTGAGTTGAATTGATTTTTGTCACGAGTTTGATCCTCATCGCCCCCTTATTTAATTAATAATTAAATTAAGTATTATGAAGTTTCTTAGCGCAGGTAGGTGGACCTGTGCATTGTTCATCCTTCAAGTCTAGTGGGCTCTTGTGAATGTAGTTTCACCCAACAGCTTAAGTATTTGGGTTGAATTGGTTATTTATACTTTACAACAAGTAATTCAATAATATTATCATAGAATCTGTTGTTTATTCTTGCAATTGATAATTAACTGTAGCACAAAGATATTTACCCGATATAATTTTTTTTTGTAGAAAAATCACCTTAAGCACAACCTCTCTTTCTTATATATTTTGCGCTCATATATGTAATGTCAATATCATGTTTTATGCAAAATTTTTGAATTTGAACCAAGAAAGCACCCTAACTCGACTCTCTTAACTTCTTAAGTAACTATTTTGTAGTTGAAACTAGGTGTAATGCATTTGAAATATCTTAAGACTCTTACTACAAATCTCAACAAAGAACATCAGTAATACCCATAATTTTCTTCGTAAGGTGCTATATGATGACAAAATCAAAAGATGTCAATAATGAGTGTGCATTATCTGCATCTCCAAGTTGTGATGCTATCTTTCCTTTATTAGAAATATTGTTAAGAACTTTACATGTGGCTTTAAATATTTAAACAAAATGCATGTAGAACTGTAATAAGAATTTCAACGAATGGCTTGAGCTTGATGTAAAGTACCAATCTAATTAACATCAATTTCTACTTTAAGTTCATCGATAGCAATTTGACTGGTGTGTTATCATCACATATATATTAAGCACAGTTACAATCACAACAGTTAAATTAAAATATGGTAAAACTTTTTCCTTTTTAACAACGTTTACATTTTAAAACAACCGTATTTAGCAGAACTCAAACTGTGATCGTGATCCGCGTTTAATATCATATGTGATGATAACACACCAGTCCGATAACAGTGTATTACGCAATCATTCTTGCAATTTCATTTGTTTGGACAATCTTTAACTCATCATTACAATTACAAGGAGAAGTAATAATATTACTTATGAAGTTTAACTTTTTTAAAAAAACTAATGAACTTGTTTTACCTCATGAGATGCAACAACCAGGACAAGTTGAAGCCGATGAAATAGTAAATTGAAAACATACAAGGAGATGGTTATAATAAGAGCCTATGAGCAATGAAGAAATGTGGGAAGCGACAAGTTGTAGTTTCGAGCAAACTTCCTCTATTTTCAATCCTTTCTTTCTTTCTTTTTTAGTGACAACTACGTGATTGGGTGGTGAGATGGAATTTTTCTTTAGTTTTTTATTTGAAAAAAGAGGTTAACTATTAGGATTAATAATTTATTATTTCCAAGAAAAAAAAGGATTAATAATTTATTATTATTATAATATAATAATAAAAATAATCAAAGTTTAGGAAGGGGCCACTGCTAATACTCGTCCCTCCCCTAGACATGCGCATGCCCCTGAATGATAGATAAACAAATAGGTCCAGGCCTCTAGGGCATCATGAGAGAATAATAGTTCGCCTTGAATATAATATTGATAGCTTGAAAATAATTTCAGTACCCACTGAATTCAATGAAAAAAATTAAATCCATATAATTTTGATGTATGGCCGAGTCTCATCCTTCCCTACTTGAAACACGAGCACATCCATAGTACTAAAAATAGAAAATAAAAATAAAAATAACTGAAGTGGTATTAACCACAAAGAGTAACGCATTTTCAGTGCTACCAGAGTATTTACTTTTTTTTTTTATCAAAAAAAGAAAGAAAAAGAATATGAATAGAAATAATTATAAAAGTTCGGGTGGTGTAAATAAGTTACTTATCATATTTGATAAATGATTTTCTCATGTATCTCAGTAGCACTATAAATATTTTTCAAAAGGTTAATAAATTGAATAAGTATTAGGTACTTTTTCCAACTTGAGTGATATATTGATTATCTTTTGTTGCTTCGGTGACTTGCTGAATCATTGTTCTCATGGTCAAGCTTGAATATTGGAAGAAATGGGATATCAAAAGAATGATAAGAAACCATGAAGAATAATTCATAGTGAAAAACACCAAGCACGGTTTCGCTAGCCGATGACAATTTAAAGGAAAGCACATGTTTTGAGCTATATAAAGATGGAGAAATCATATGGTGCGAGAGTACTGCACAAGTCATTAGAAACATAAGAATATACCATACATGCCATTGGATAAAGTTTGAAGAATAAATCACATCTGTTTACTAGAGCGTATACATATTTTTATACAAATTGGGGACTTACTTGACTTTGGATAGTGGGAAAACAATTGGAAAAGAAGTTGAAGATTTCATGCTTGCTTTGTTTGTACTATTTGTTAACTTTCCAAGAACAAAATAAATTTTCAATACTCTTATATACTCCATCCACCTAAAATTATTAATACAAGCATTTAACTTGGGCATAACATCTAGGTTTATGATATTCATGTCAACTCTAGGGATAAAACCAAATAGATTATAGAAGAAACAAAGACAAAGCAAATGCAGTGCTTTCCTGGATTTTTTTTTTTTTTTTTTGTTTCCTGAATAGTCGTTAGATATGAAATGTATAAGGAATCGTCATTATGTCATTTTTTGTGGGGAAGTTTATATGGAATTCGTTGTATGTCTGTTTTTGGATATGAAATCGAATATTGAAAAATGAGGGCAGAATCTTTTGATAACAGTGTCAAATTTGAAGTTTGACACTTTATCTGAGAGCCCTTATATAAAAAAAAAAATCAATGACTCTGATTTGTAAGCATGTGACACCATTAATCTTTTTTGATCTAAGGGCTCTCAGATGTCAAACTTCAAATTTGACACCGGTGTCAAAAGATCCTGCCTCTTGAATAATAACATGTCTTTTTGGTCAAGTCTATTTGTCTTGTAATTAAAATAAAAAAAGCATAAAATAAAACACAAGTATTATTAAAAGTGTACTAGTTTCAGCTTATATTACCTTTATTAGAAGAATCATTCCACGATCACGTTTCTGAAGTGAGCAATTTCGTGCCAATCTTCTTCGGCACTTCAGCGATACGAAGTTGCCTTGTCGGCCACTGAGACATATCAACGAGCGAGAGACGATGGAGACGTGGGTTTTCGTTAGCTTTCGAAGGATGAAGAAGAGAGGATGGTGGCGGATATTGTGTCGTAGTGAAAAGGTGAGAGAAGGATGAGAGGATGAGATTCAAGTGACAGAAGAAGAGAGAAGATGAAGTTGACGATAGAAAGAAAATTAGGATTAACGAGAGGTTGATTTGCATTTGTTCCATTGATGAAAAAGTTATAATGGTAAGATTATGGAAGTAGTAAATACAACCCGCCCCTTAAAATTAAATGCGCCAACTTGATTCCAAATATTGAAGAATTCAATTAACGCCAATGATAGCGTAAAGTTTTACACTTTCATTCAGTAATGTATTATAATAATAATGTGATAACACTGTTAAAAAAATTACACTTTTAAATAGTAATTACGATAGTTAGGCTTTTTAATAACATGGCAATAAAAGACTAGATGGTAGTATAAATATAATGTACGCAAACAATGCATTCAATAAATCCAATTTGCAAAGGCATGAAGGGGCACGTAATATCTCACAAGGAACAAATATACATTTACGGAAATTTAATTTGAATATCCAACAAAAGATCCGTTTATATAAAATGAACAAAAACCTTTAAACTATATTGCTAACAAACACGAGAGAAATTAAATCAAGAACATACACATCATCATCATTGAATAAGAGAAACCAACAAGCCCATTAACGGGGTACCCTTTTTCTACTCAGTATCTCCTGTTCTTTTAGTCGATGTTGGAATCTTGCCAGGCGAGCTTGAAGACTGACTAGGCTGGCTGCTTTGCGAGAAAGCACAAAACTTAACTGGGTTACGTAGTTGTCAATAAGACTCCCTGGCTGGTCCACTTCCGCCAATAGTTTCATTTCCTAAAAACCAAAAGTAATACAACATGAGCACCAACAAACAACTAGTCTACAAGTAGAAAATTTTAATTATCTTCCTACCATTATCAAAATATAAGTAGGATCAGAGAAAACAGCTACCAAAAGCTGCATCGCCTTTTATACCCAAAATAGGGGCAGTGGACAGTTAAATAAGCGAGATATTTAAATACCAAAATAACTCAACGACAATTTTTAAACAAATGTGACACTAATATTAATACAATAGGCTACAACTACTATAATTCAAATGCTCTTGAATACACGATAACAGAAGGTAAAAACATCATATCAGACCATTCCTAAAGACTTCAAGACCCTACCACCTTCCAGAAATTCATACACATGCATAACCTCCTTTGCGTCAATGTGCAACGGCTTGAAAATACTGAAAGTTGAAGGTTCAACATCTCATCTATATTAAAATTAATTGTTACATGAGCCTTAGGTAAATGTTCGGTTTCATGGTGTCTTCAGTATATAAACACGAACCTTAAAGAAAGGTAGTAATTTAAAGATTTAAAACTCCTCTATTTTCTCTATAATCACTGTAAAAAAACTCTACTAACTTAATTAGTGCAGTAGTTATCTGAAAATTTAAAAACTCTACTAACTTAATTCTATTCAACAAAATTTTAAATTAAAGAAACCAATTGACGCATGTCAACTGCAGTATGAAAACTCAAGCCCTAAAGGGACCTGTCAAAAAGCAATTAGAAATTGAATTTCACCGTTAATGAGAAGCAAAAGAAAAACTCATATTAACTCACTTCACGAACAATCTCCATTGTGTCCTCAATTTCTTTCCTATGAGCAGCAATTAGTGCTTCTTCCTCCTGCAGAAGTATAACAAAGAAATTTAACAGACACCATAAACAATTTTTACTGTCAACTGAAAACTGTTAAAGAGGGTAGTCCCAAATATTTGACAAACCTCAAGTATTGCACTGATATTCCCATCAGGAGTGTATTCAGTTTCAGACTGCCTGGATGCAGTGGTAACTGTGTTATAATTCCCTGTGCTCTGCTGCTTGGAGCCTGTACTGAAGTGATCAGAACCATTGGCATCCCTTTTTAGCCAGTTCACAGACCTTTCAGACTTCTCCTCCTTAGATCCTTTTCTGCGAGGGGGAGACACCTTTTGCAATTTCTCATCTGCATCATTTTGGGAATAAGAAGAGCTCATCTTTTGACTGGTAGAATCACTGTAAGAATTCTTCACTTCAAACCTGTCCCTGTCCATCGAGGCAGAAGCCAGACCTTTTTCCTCTCGCCCATTTAATAGATAACTTGAAGAAAAATTCGATGGTTGTTTGTCAACGTCAGCAGCAGAGCTGTACAAAGAATTTTCCTTTTCAATAACTTTCCTCCCCATATCCACTGTTTTCACCTCTTGACGTTGATCACTAAAATCCTCTGCACCAACACTAGCTGGAATGGATGATGTGGATAAAGCCTCCTTATTCATTTGTGGTACTGGATTCGGGGCCTGGTCCTTTCTAGGATTTCCACTTTTGGATAGACTTTTAACTCTGTTCACATTATAATGAAACAGTTAATATCTGCAAACATGCATGTGCAAGAAGAAAGGGACACCAGGTTATGAACATAAGCTTAAGTTCACAATAGGGGAACACGTACCGATCTGCATATCTCAAGGTATTAAGTGTGTGTTCACAAGACCCAGCATTTGGAGATATACAAGAGATCATAACAGTCTTTGAATTGCCAACAAAGGAGTCACGAAGCACTTCTGTAAGTTTGCTTCCACGAAAAGGAATATGGATCTGGTCATTGTCCAAAGCACGAATGCACTCCTTTAAAGCCAAAAGGCTCTTATTGATTTCTGCTCCTTCAATCCTATAGTTTGTACATGAAGTGTTACACAAAGAGATTTCTTACTATAAGACAAAATGCTTGATCTGAACAAGAAAAATTGCCACAAGGCAAGGATTGACGGAACTCAAGGAAGCAATGATCAACAAAACCATGTTTACAGTACTTATATTTTGGACAAGTAAACAAACAGCACAGTTGTAAATTTCACTTTTAATTATGAAGTACTCATGCAATATTATAATAATTAGTGCAAAGAAGCAATCACTCGGTTTATTTTAATAAATCTACTTTCAACTTTGAAAAACCACAGAACAATAACTCGAAACTTAAACAGAGATCCCAAAATGCATATGTACTAAACTGAAATTTCATTTTTATTAGAAGTTCACAACAATATCAGACGTAAATACAGTAGCTACAAAGTAAAGCTTTTACGAAGTTCACATTCAACCAGCAATACTACTTAGTGAAAGAAACCAGAACAATTAGCTGGTTTCATTTACATTTCCTAACTAGAAGGGTTTATATTTCCAACTGCTATTCTCTTTTTTAGAAGTGTGAAGGCAGAGAGAGAGTAAAACAAACTAAAAGGAAAACAAAAGGAAGCTCTTATCAACACTTCGGTATAGATTTACAATAATGACCATGTTTAATATTATGCTGGTATTCTCCCAAATATTCGGAGTATGTGCAAAAGTTTTTCTAATGAAATTGGAAAAATGAGGTTCTCAACCAAAATCTCAACATGCATAGGACATTATAGAATCCCTTGCCCGTAGTTGGTTTTTGCAGAGCAGATAATATAAATGAAAAAGTACCTAGTCTGACGATCATTGTCAGTAGTGTCAGCACCTCTTTCACTTCCAGCAAGATCAATAAAGGAAATCTTCCCCACAACCTTTCCACTTTTTGCCTCATTTCCATCATTGTTCCGCCTGCTCTCCTTTACCTCATTGTGCCTCTTTACAACCAGTTGTAAGATAGCATGTGACCTGGAGGACTCCTCATTCGCACCAGTGGATCCTGTACTTCTTGCTGCATTCCCCTTTTCAATGAATTCTTTGACAATCTGTACATCAGAAACTTCAAATTCTTGCAAACCTACAATGCAAACTTGCTGCCGTCCATCTTCTCTCATGCAGAGTTTCCTATTCATAGAGTAACAAAAACAGCCACTTAGAAATCACCCCCCAAAAAAAAGGCCATAAAATTCATGTTTGATATATGTTGAAGTTAGAGCTGCTTGGAAAAATTCATATATATACACTGAAAGTAACACTCAACAGCTGAGATTTGATCCAAAAGTCATGCTTTTAGTGGAATGAGCATCATGCTGCTTGATACAAACATTAAAAACACAATCTTCTAGTTAAGGCCCAGAACCCAGATGACAAATACAAAGCATTAATGCCAAAGGAAAACTTAATACCAGAAGGATAACTGGCAGCGCAGCACCATTATCATATACCTTCAAACTAATACAATGATAAAACTGGTTCAGATATGAAAGAGAGAATGAAGAAAAGGAAATAGAATTTTATTGATGAGATTTTCCTCAACCCCGGATCGACGGAGAACCCAGATTAGGAAGAGAAAGAATGGTTTGAAAACTGTTTCCTTCAGCTGTTTGAGTGCCTAACTCCGACTCACTTTCAATTACAAGTTTACAACCGAATACCCTCTCCTCTCTCCCTCCATCCCCTTATATCCTACTTCCGACAATTTTTTTAGAGTAATATCCCCCAATATCAATCGACACTAACTACTAAAAGGGCAACCTGGTGCAGAGCAGGGTTTAGGGGAAGGGTCTACAATAGGTAGTTTTACCTTGCAGTTGCTAGAGGCTGATTACATGATTCAAACTGTGACCTCCGAGTCACAAGGCAACAACACCACCCATTGTGCCAAGGCTCCCTTCAATTAAGATTAACTATTATATCTACAGCACCAGCTTTACATATCCTGAATGATCCTCCTGACTCAGGTCGTAAATAAGAATATCATCAAAACATACTAGGACGAACTTCTTGGAAAAATAGTCAAAGCACCTCTTTCATAAGGGCTTGGAATATGGATGGAGCATTGGCTAACCCAAAATGCATCACTACAAAATTATAATGCCCATAGTGAGCATGAAAAGCAGTATTCGGGAAATACCCTCATCCTTCATCTAGATTTGGTGGAATCTTGATTTCAAATTAGGCTTAGAAAAAATAGCGGTACCTTCTAGCTCATTTAGTAGTTCATCAACAAGAGGAATTTGTTCACTAGAATGAAAGAGGAATTTGTTCATTTAGTACCTTCTAGCTTGGAATAGGGAATTTGTTCAGGACTGTGATTTTGTTTAAAACCTTATAATCCACACAAAACCTCCAACTTCCATCATTTCTCTTCACTAGAATGATAGGGCTTGAATATGGACTCACATTGGGTCTAATTATTTCTACAGCCAACATATCATCCACCAATTTTCTATTTTAGCTTTCTGATAATGTAGGTACTTGTAGGGTAGTAATTTGGAAGTCTCAAATGCTCCTTCAACGCAATAGGTTTGCAGGTAACGGATACACCTTGTGATTCCTTGAAAACATCATCAAAATGCATTAAAACATCCCTGGTTCTATTGCCTCTCCCACTAACTCCATCTCAAAACTCCCTTGATTAAGTTGATTCTCCTTTCAAAGTTAAGGTCCCATTTTCCATTGGAATTTTCATGGTTACCTCCTTGAAGTTGGACCTTCTCTCTCCCAAATTGGACAAACATTCCATGCCCAGCACCACATCTACTATTCCTAATTCAAAAATAAAGAAATTCTATTGCACCTCCCCAACCCTATAGTAACAAATTCATATGAGAACAAACCCCCGTTGGATCTTAAGCCCTTCTCACACCTCCAATTGGTAAGTTGGAGTTGTTGTGATGGGCCAACTTCAACTCTCTCACTAAGGCTGCTAATACGAAATTATGGGATGCCCCATAACGAATTAAAACTTGACCTTCCTTCCGGCCACCTCTCCCCACATCTTAAAGGGATTTCTTGGGAGTCAATCCCCAGATGCTTACAGGGCTAACCATAAAGCCTTATGGTCTAATTCCTCTTGATCTTGCAGCAGCCCTTCACCTTCTTTTTCCTCTGTCTTGCAACATGATCTTTGTAACGCGCGACAACTTGCAAGGATCAATGACTGTCTCCACAAACTAACACGAGACTTTTCAGTGTGCTTTGTCCTCACTCACACACTTCTTCGAAAAACTTCCCAGGAGGTCACCCATCCCAGAATTGCTCCAAGTTAAGCACACTTAACTATGGAGTTCTTCCGTTCCAGGTTAACGAAAAGTAGATGTATCTTGTTAGTATAGGTAGTACCAATTAATTCTTATAAGCTATCCCCAACTGTACCGTCCCATACCAGCATAGTCTTTAGAATCCCTATCTTTCGGGTGTTGATTCAATTCATTCATGTACCCCTCCGCTAGATGCCAGGAGCCGCTCCTTGTTCAAGCCTCTTTTGCACCAACGATCACTTCTCACCCTTGTCAACCACCAGAATATTACAATCTTGCCCCTACTTCTCATTATATCTAAAGCACATACCCACTTTATCTTACCTTGCAATTTTGCATCAGATAGTATCCTCTTTATTTCTTGAAGCCCCACTAGTCAATCGTTCACAGAATTGCCTTCCTTGCTTACATGCTGAGGGGGTTGGCCTCATCCCAACCTCAAAGGCATCTGCTTCAGATGAGGGATATCTTCTATATGAGGTTCCTCTCCTGCTGTCCTTCTCACCTTCTCCCTTGTCTAGTGCCCTATTCTTGTCATTAATTCTTTGGGCATAATCCATCAATTCTGGAAAGGTGCTTATTAGGTATAACTTCAATTCTGCCCTAATCTCCTCTTTTAAGTCTTCTCAAGAAAACCCGTTTAAGGTACTCAAGGTCGGTACCGCATAGGGGGTTGGCATATAAATTGATTTGCTTTTTGTACCCATTTATCTGAACCTCTTCTTTTAGGCCTAAGAATAATTCATAGGGATTCTACAACATAGAGGGTTGAAACCTCCTAATCACCATTGTTGAATTCTATCCCAAGAAGGACAGACTCTGCGCACATAATTCCCAGCCCGGGAACCAAGATAAAGCCCGACACTCCATGTCCACCTCTATTACTAGTAATCTCTCGCTGTCTACTACCCCTTAACTTTGAAATATCGTCCTCCCCCCAAAGTAGAGGGAGTTCAAGCTTTCTCCATTGGTCCTCCCTAGCTTTTGTTCTGACTCCCAATCTTGGCCCTTTAATTGACATGGGGTATTCGCTTTGTCCATTGTGCCCAGCACCCATTGCTTTACTTCCTCCAGATGGGTTTGTGATACCCCTGCCAGCATATCTTCAAGCTCCTTGGTTTTTGAAATTCCCAACCCTTCCTGCTTGGATTAGGTCCTTTTCCAAGCTCTTCATCAATGCTTTGAAACTGCTGCCCAAGAATTCCAATTGCGACTCCATCATGATGTGCACCATGAAAGAACCCGCTAAATTGGGAGGTCTGATACCAGTTCATAAAACTGGTTTAGGTATGATAGAAAGAATGAAGAAAAAGCAATAGGATTTTAATGATGAGATATTCCTTAGCCCCAGTTCAAGGGAGAACCCCGGTTAGGAAGAGGAAGAATGATTACATAGTTGTTCCCTTTAGGTTAGTGAGAGCCTAACCTCTCCTACTCACATTCAATTACAACCGGATACCCTCTCCTCAATCCCTCCTTCTCCTTATATCCTACTTCCGACAATTCTGTTAGAGGAATATCCCCCAATATCAATTAACACTAACTATTATATCTACCATGTCAATTGGACTCTAACTACATCTACTATTCTTGACTAACAGGGGTTGGCCCAACTAGATCAATTGGGCACATCCATATTTTTTCTTACTTACACTTTCTTAATTGGGGTTCTGCTACTAACATACACCCAACGTTATACACACACAGAGACAAACACACACATCTATAAGAAAGAAATACTCACTTTCTGTCACTAAGAAGATCAAAAAGCTTTCCACCATATATCTCAAAGTAGCTAAGCCACAATTTAAATTTTTGATTTCGGTAAACTGGCTGATGCAACTGTCTAACAAGGTCTTCTGCAGCTCTGAGTGGTAATGGTTGCATTGTGTATGTTTTTCCACTTCCTGAAAGCAAAGCACTATTTGCATCACAATAACGAATGAAAATGATGGAACAGCTATACAAGGGTAAAGCAGCAGCCATGGAACATGAATGAACAAACTTATTTGGTGCCAACAATTGAAATTCTGCTTCATTGAAAAGGGAAGTATAGTATATCCAGAATAAAGCAGTTTGATTCATTTTAAACCCCATCAATTATTTGCATAATTTCATCTACCACATGTACTAAATATCATCTTTGTCTAGGCTTAGGCCATCAATAGACTCCAACTCTCGCCAGTTGCTAAAAATGAATATGTTATGATAATTTGAGATGTTAAATATTTTGGCTCATATTTCACAAAATTGCCAGGAACTACACAAGTAAGAAAAGGAAAAGAACTGAATCCCTATCCTCTTCTTTTCTAACAGGGCCCTGTCAATATGTTCAGCTACTGACAGTATCAAGAACCATCTACAACTACTTAAATATATAAACAAACCAGTAAATGAAAAAAAGGAAAAAAAACAAGCACATACATTGAGAATATTGAAAAACCTAAAAAGGTTTGGAATGTGATTGGATGATGCTTATCATTTGAACAGGTATGATATGAACAGGGAACAATAAATTTCTCACCTGTCTGACCATAAGCAAAACAGGTTGCTTTTGTCCTCACAAAAATTGTAGGAATAATTGGTTCTACTGTGACTCGATATACCTGTTATTGAAAAGCAACCATGCCTTTGATTAACAACTCAAGACCAAGACAGAGGCAAGCAATCACTTCCATAAATACCAAATAACCAAAACAACAACAAACAAGCCAAAATGACAATGTCAAATCTATTGAAGCAAAAAGTATATTAAATTAAATAAACAGCAAAAAAAATTCAATGTTTGATAAGGAGCTGCCTTACTTCATCATTGGTAACATTCTCATCAAGAACTGCGTCAAAACAAAACTCATGCTTCTCCACATAAGCTGTCAAATCAACCTTTACATGATAGAACAAAAAATTAGATCTTTGAAAAGCAAATACAAATAAGAATGGAAAATTCAAGATAGAACTCAATATTGAGTAAGCAATAATCAACCTTTGAACCGATATAGTTATAAATGGAAAATATAGTGCTTCAGTCCGACATAAACAAACCTTTAGTTTGGGTTCATGGACTGTCAAATATGCATTGTCATATACATTTACAATATCATCCTCCTTCTTAGCGAGCTCCTTCTTATTTAAAGGTCTTTTGCGTACCTAACACATGCATTGAAAAGCAAATTTTCTCAAAAATTTGTTGTAGTAATAATAATTATAAGTCTCCCTCATATGTTAATGAATCTAAAATTACATGCTAATTCAAGACAAATGAAGTAGTTCAAAATGCTTCAGTGAATTATCATGTAGGAATTAATAATCAAAGATGCATTTTACTCTTAACTTTCTTTTCTGAATGATGATTATTTTAGTGAATTCATCCATTAGTTGGGGGAAAATGACAAGTAGAATTGGTGGTGTTATTGCTTGCTGCTGGAACACTAAAACATCAAAAGAACAAAGAATAGAATTCAAAAACCCAATATGTACTACAATCTCAGCATAGGAAAATCATATCTTTTTACATGTTTTAACATGCAAGTACGAAGCTATTCATGTATGTATAGATTATTTATATCTATAAAACGTTGACATACCACAACTTTAATCTTCGCAACATTATTTTCTCTTGAATTACTGTCTTTTTCATTCATAGGTAAAAAAAGTGATGCATCAGCATCTGCTTCTCCTCTATCCTGCTTGCTGCTAATTGGATTGAAGTCATCTTCAAAACTTCGGGTACCTCCAGGCATAAAGGGTGATGGCTCAAAGGGTTCTGAAATAACATGCTGAACAGAGGAAAGAAATCAGAGCCAATAAAACATGTGCAGGCAAAAATACTTGTACTACACGAAAGTTATGGAAAATGCAACAATATAAGGGATCGATGAGAAAAAACGTGCACAATCATAAAGTAACAAAGTTGAAAAATAATTGTAGTAGGTTAAAGGTTTCGGACATTCATCCCAAGATTATTGTCTAAAATAGCTGCTTATACAACAGACATTTTTCGCCATCACCAAAACAAACAGTTGTATAAGATGGTATAAAAAGTTACTAATATTTTCATGACAACTAATAATAATACAGGGATAATCTACTCTGATACAAAGAAGACAACTTTACTTGTAGAATATAAACTGTATAAAGGAATCAAACTGCATACATCTGGTTTAATTAACTGAAAAGGCAACTACCATATAGTGAATCATACCTCAGACAAAAGCTCTGTATCATCCATAGCATGAAGATCCAAAAGCCCAGCACCGAAATCCCCTCTGAACTCAGGAGAATAAAACCCATCCGATACAGTCACTCCACCTAAAGTTTGGGCAGTGGGCGTATATGGCTCTGAACCAGATTCCCCATTAAAATTGAGGTTTCTCATTAACTTAAAAAGCCTCTGCTTTTCTTCTGCAGACTGTGCTCCATAACCCTATGACAATATCATGTTCATCTAAGTCATCCCATAGACTACCATTACATACAATAACAGAGAAAGTGAGAAACATAAACAAAATTTAGCATGTTCCACCAATACTAATCGCAAAGTCAATGTAATCTTTTAACAAAATATAGAAGGTAGACATTATTATCCCTCAAATTACAGGACTGCCCAAACTTCAAAGAGTGACATATGAGGGGGGGAATTAATTAGATTGACAATTCTTTAAGCCAGGGAACAATTGACAAGTTAATTACAAATGAGAACCTAAAAGAGTTGCTATCAATATTCTATGGAAGAGAGGTGGGAATACCTGCATGAGAAGATTGGGGAGAAGGCGTTGATCGATAGCGGTGGAAGCCAATGGAGAGGCCAGATGCTGCAAGCCGGCAGACTGCAACCAGCGCGCCATGACGGCATCGCCGGCATCGGTGGCAGGCCCTGCTGCATTGTGCAGGGCTCCAGTGCCGGCGTGGTCATACAGAGCAGTGGCGGCAGCATTGCTCTGCTGCATCTGGCCACCCATGTGGCGCTGCGAGCGTCGTTGGGGCGCCAATTTTCAAGATCTGTTTACACACGCTTCGGACAAATATACACACGTTGGAATTTGAAACCATCATCACCATAATAATAACGACCAAAAAACCTAAAAAAAGAAAGAAAGATAAGACCACAAATGATCCAAACAAACAAGGAATACTCACGATGAGGGGAGAATTCGAAGCCGAAGAAGAACATGAAAGTGAGGAGTGAAAGGACGGAATCCAAAATCAGCGAAACCTGGAATTCAAGTGAATCGAGTTATTGGAGAATCAAGAATGCATCGACGCAGTCGAGAATCGAGATCCGCTCTGTGAAATGATAATCGGCAATGTCGGATTGCGATTCAGATCTGGAAAGTGGTCGCAAAAACAAAAGCAAAACCTCAAAACGATTGAAAAGCGTTGCTTCGAATTTTCCTTTTCCTTTGTTCTTGTGTGTGCCTCTCAGTGAAGAAAATGGGTTTGGCAATGATGATGGCAGAAGAGGAGAGAGAAACACGAGAGAGATAGAGAGAGAGTGTAGCGTCGACGATATGATATACTTCCGTGAACGACAAAGGTATCTGTCAACGAAAAAAATTTAGATAAGAATCAAATAATAATATATTATTTTCAAATATTATTAAAACGGCTATTACGAAATCGAGTATTCTCCAATAGGACTAATATGCCCTCGTACTTCCCTGTAAATTTCGCCCAACAAATCAAGACTCAAGATAACCGGCTCATAAACATCACATTATACCAAATGGCCCGAGCAGTTTAAAAAAAAAAAAATAACCTTGGGTTCCTATTTATTTAAAAAAATTATTCTCCACAAAAAAAATTATTAAATAAGAATATAAGTTATAATATGTTAAAAATTAAAAATAATTAGTATTTTTTAAAATGATGGATAAAAATATCAATATTATTTTAATTATTTAAAATATGTTATTAAGGTATATGTTAACAAAATACAAAATATTTTATATATTACTCTGTTCTTATATTTTAAAATAATATAGATCAAAATTCAAAATATTTATTTATGGAGTAAGGATATTCTAACTACCAAAATTTTTTACTACTGACTTATTACCCATCACATCACCATTGGATCAAAGAGAGAGAATGTTAAAAAGTTTTTAAAGAGAGAGAAAATAATAATCTAATGATGATTAGAGAGGTAGTAAGTTGGTAGTAAAAATTTTTAGTAGTGAGAATATCCTCCTCTTATTTATGACGAGGATATCTTGCATTAATATAAGTTATATTATAAATTTTAGCCACATTTCTAAATTTTAGCCATTGTTCTAGTTTTTTATTTATATGAACTAGTGAATTAATAAAAAAATGAGTTTAAAATTTTATTTTTATACTGATATAAAAATAACCCACTCCATTTATTTAATAACTGATGATTAAATTGATGTATTTTAATAAACTATCCATTATATTTCATTTATCTAATTTTTGAGTTAATTGACACTAATTTTTTTTTTTGGTAATCGACACTAAATTTATTTATGAGACTCTAAGTTTCGTTATTCTCATTAAGAGTCTGTTTTGGATGAGTTTTCTTTTTTTAGTCTTAAAGAGTTTTTTTTTTCAAAAAATAAAAATTCTACTATAAAATCCGTTTGAATGTTGGCTTTAGAAAAAATAAAAGTCACAAAAAAAAAGATAAAAATCTGCTTTTTTTTTTTAATTAAAAATTTTAGCTTCTAAAAAAATAAAGTTAAAAGTCAAATACTTTTTTTTTTCAAAACACAAATAGCTTTAACTTTTGTAAAAAATATTTTCAAAATAAACAAGATATGAAAAGTTTTTTTCTTTTAACAAGTCCGTCCGAACTGTCCAAAATGATACTAAATTTCTTTTCAAACTGCAATGAAGTATAATGAAGGAGTAGTCTAAAATTGACTTCTTAAGACGTTTTAAAATAAATACATGTAAAAAAGCTCTAGTTTTTTTCGTACAAAAAAAAGGGCCTAATTTTCTTATATGGTTGGCAAGTCAATGTAAATTGTTGGCTATTTCAAGGTCAATTAATTAACACAATTTTTTTATCCTCTAGTTTAAATATTTGATTATGAGAAATTGAGTGGGCAATCCAATGTTCTGTCCATGTCTTCTCCCGGACGGCATTTTATGTTCAAGCTTTGATATGGTTAACAAGTTAACGTACCTTCACCTCTTCACTTTCGTTGACGTCCCCGCCAACAAATATACTAATTATAAATTTAGCCAGGTTGCTTTTCTTTATATATTTCCTATATATATACCAGGAATATATTTTTCATAATTTTATCTCATGCACATGCAAAAAATGGATGAGATCTGTTTTTTCTTTTTTTCTTTTTTGTTTAATGGGTCTCACACATTTTTTTTATGAATTATAAGTAGGGGTGAAAGTGGGCTGGACTGGGTCAAACTTTGTCCTGAAAAGTCCAAGTCTACGCCAAAATTTTTTAATTTGTCCTGACCCAAGACTGATACGAGTCTAATTGTTAATCTGGCTTGGCCCATTTATAAAAAAATTAATGGTCTGGTTTAACCTATTAGCCTATTAATTTTTAACTTCCAAGCAGAACCATAAATCAACTTTACAAAATACTCAAATTCCGTTGCTAAACCAAAAATCATAATTTTAACGTCCAAATAGAATTATGAATCACAAGAAAACTCATACAATCTGCATTTAAGTCACTTTCAAAATCAAAATGCTCAAACTAAATAACATACATTTCATCAGATCTAACAAACAAATCCATACTATGTAAATTAAAATAACTACATGAATCTAACAAACACATCATGATGCTTGTAGTAAGTATAACCTCTCCCAAAAATCTTTTGATATACATACACACAACTTAACATGCTGAGATCTTGGTTCCTCTTACATAAGAAATAAAGTCAGATTCCTATTAAAATATAATCGAATATAATTAAGTTATAAATAATTGCAATTGATTAAATTTATATCTTTTGTTTTTCTTTTCAAGGCATACTCATTCTATTTTATTTTATTTAAAATAAATAGTACAATATAGGCCGGCCTGTAGGCTTATAGGCCAGGCCTTGTGAAAGTGGGCATATGACCTTTTTATTAAACAAGTTTTTTCAAGATCCAAGCTTGACCTATTTTACGAAATATACTAGGTCAGGTCTGGCCTGACGTAGGCCGAGCCGTAGGCCCCTGTAGGTCGGCCCGGCCCAGTTTCACCCCTAGACTTATAAGAAATAATTTTATCTCATGAAATATGAAGAACACACACACACACACATATATATATATATGGCTTTGATTTTCTTATATTACATAAGATTTGTTTTCTCATATTATGACTCAATTAAGGATTGATCCCACATTTGTTAAAAAAAAAAAACTTTAATCACAAATTGAAGGGTCACAATATAAGAAAACACTTTTCGTGAGAAGTGCTGGCTTTGATTTTCTTATATTACATAAGATTTGTTTTCTCATATTATGACTCAATTAAGGATTGATCCCACATTTGTTAAACAAAAAAAAAAACTTTAATCACAAATTGAAGGGTCACAATATAAGAAAACACTTTTCGTGAGAAGTGCCCCCGCTCCGAAATGACACACACACACATAGGGCAGGATCCTTTGACACCGATATCAAACTTTAAAATTTGACACCAAATTTTAACCGTTGATTTTTGTCAATTAACGATTATTATTTATTAAAAATTAATAATTAATAAATTTGATTATCATGTAAGTTGACACACACGATATAATATGAATAATCCGATAAAAAGATTAATAAAAGGTCAGTTTAGTTTTTGCGAATTAACACATAATATGACACAAAATTTTTCATATTAATTTTTATTAACAGAAACGCAATACAAATTTAAAAATTAATTAACCTGAATATAAATTTCTCATGTCAACTAATCATATTGAATATTATCAGCTCCAATAAATTATCAGGAGAACTTCATGGGAGTACAATTGTTGCTTCATATCCCACCTCTATATATGCATATTTTATGCTAGATGCGTAAGCAATGAATACCATAAAAGATCAGGGCTGTAAAGTCCAAATGTCAAAACTAACAACTCGTTGTCTCGAGTTACTTAATTACAAGCAATTAGGCACATCTGGTACAAAGTAAGTGTTGCCCCTAATGCCCAATCGGACATTTTAACCGATCGTATATAATATTTCAAATGGTATGATTAACACAAAGCATTGAAAGCCCACCATGAAATTATGATGGCAACGATGCGATGCTAATGAAATAGCTATAATAATTAATAAATGCCGCAACTTTCGTGAGTTGCCTTCGTGTGGTGATCTCTTTTTCTAAGTTAGTCTTAGTCTCATCATTCTTTTACTCATTTGGAGGCCTAACAGCAAGCTAAGAAATCAATATAAAATGCCCATGAATTCTTTATTGGATAAAACTTGTGTTTATTAATTTCAGGCTGAAATGTAGGGTTTTTAATCTTTGTTTTCAAATAAAGAAATTAAAAAAAAAGTATGAAAAAAGGTCGGGTGTTTTATTTCTGTGACCCATGTCATTCCTTGTGGTTCACTTCTTTTTGGACAGAAGTCTTTGCTTCGGCTTAAAGCATGAGAGGTTTGAGATCCAACGAACGATTAATTAGGAACATTAATTTGGTCTAAAGCTTCATCAATTTTATTTTTATTATTTTCATTCAACAAAGTAAATCTTCCATTCTTTCTAAACATATATCCAACATTGCATTTTCAGTAATCGAAGTTGATAACATGGCTAATTATCACGTAATATTTCACGTAACTTTGTCGATAACCTCGTCTAATTATCACGTTAATAAATCAACTGATTAAGATGCTATTTAATGAATGATTTAATTGGCCGGAATAGTACCAAACCCTGTATCATAACACAGAATATTTTTTTTTCCTCTTTCTGGAAAAGTCTTTAAAACTATATTTTTAAAATATTGAGATCAAGGTTCGGTTCGGAAATACGATGATGTGCATAAAAGAGTTAAAACTTAAAACCATTAAAAATGGTTATTTAAATTATTATTTGTATAAATTATTAACAGATTTTAAAAATATTTGGTTAACTAAAAAAATACCAAAAAAATATAGTTAAAAAATAACTAATGCATATTATATTTTGATTTTACGGAAAATTTATCATTCCGATTTTATCCTAACAATGTTTCCCCTTCTCAAATTCGTTTTCAAGGAATAGATAGTGGGGAAGGGGACCACGACGCTTAGATGCCATTCCTTCAGAATTCGATAATGTACATTTTTGGCAACGACATTATGCAATTGAATGAATACCAAACAATACAAAAAAAATAAATAATAATAACTACACTTTTCTTTTTATTCGAAAGGTAAAATTTTAAACACGAATCTATAAAAAATAATTTTCCCAATACAAAATGATATCGTGTTATTGAAATTATAAAAATTAAAGAAAATAAAAATTCATCACTAAAAATCCAAAATATTGCTACCTAGTGAGTGGTGTATCGACTTATTTATGCGCATTGTTTTGGATGTAGAATGAGGTATCATACCCACGGGAGGGGAGCATCCTTCTTTGAGAGGCTGGATGACCACTAGTATATTAACAATACCATTAGAAGGATCGGGCCAAACACAAATATTGCTTGGATTGACAAAATCTTTTCACCTAATGCAAATCTTTGAGATTAAGTTAAATATTTCAAGTACCAAATCCTTTAAAATCTCAATCCAATACAATCCCCTAAGAGATGATGATGACCTAGCAAAAGGAGAGAATAATAATAAATTGAATACGACGTCTAATCATGGATAATGATAATTTGGTAGGAATGAAGCACAGAAAGTATCCCCCTAATAACTGTCAAATTGTTTAATCATAACAATAATACCATTAAACCAAAATACCAAGGGAATTTCCCAGGTAAATGTAAAAGAAAAACTAGATGAGATAATGCTAAAACTACAACAGAGTACAAAATATCAAACTTCCTAGCCAGGTATGTCGCTTAGCACTTCACTTCCTTCAAAGCATATGCCAAGTACAGAAATGTGGGATCAGTTGCACCATCCTTGTAGTAGGCACAGACCAAGCTACCATCATCATGCATGCTCTCCCCAACAAAACTACACATAAAAACTTCAGCTTAGTGTACAGTGATTTTAATTAAGAACAAAAGACACAAAGATAAACAAATTACATAAACATGCTAACAAAGATGAATCAATCATCATATATGCATGCATTGTATAATATAGAGGTGGCACTTACAACTGAAGATCACTGATCTTGGAGAGAAGGAATTTAGTTGCTCCCTCAATGTGCTTTTTAAATAGCCCTTGTTTCTCTTCATCAAGTTTAGGTGTCAACAACTTGATATACCTCTTCATGAAGACAAGAAACTGCTTCTTGTCAAAAGAAGGCTGCTCCTGCAATAATCATAAAAAAAAGAAACTTACACTATGAATGTAATCCAAGAAGATACTAATATTCAACAATAAGTAGAGGAGTATCATTTCCCAAACCTGAAGTCTAAATGTGTCAACAATGTCAACAACCTTAACAGCTTGGTCATCAACACCCTCATCCTCGCCACCTTCAGCAGAAGGGTTTGCACCAATGTCTACATCAACTGCTCCTTTAACAACCCACTGCAAACCCCCCCCCCAAAAAAAAAGTTTTAAACTTATCAGACATGTCACCACATGCAATAACATTAGCAACCAAACTACTTCAAAAATATGTGATTATATTAAATCATATAGAAAATGAAATAATAATATTTAAGGATTAATATATAAACAAGAAAATCTCCATATATACCCAAAATTCAACTGACCTTTCCATCGACTTCCCACAACATTCCATTCTCAATTTCCTTGTATGGGAAGGAGTCCGAGAGAAGCTCATCACCTACATCATTTAATACATATGACCAAAGTTATTCCACGCATTCAACAATTAGATTAAGACAATAGCAACTTATCACAAAAGATAAACAGCAAATCAGAAGCCAACACAAAAAACAAATACTTACGGAAAGAACCAGAGAACGACATGCAACTTCTTTATGACAATTTAGATTTATAATTAAAAACATTTTTAAAAAATTTAACCTATCATAACCAAGATAATTATGTAAAGAGTACAATTATGTTATATATATATATATACTTGAATAACAAATCTTAAAAACAACTCTTAATACAGGCTCTAATTTGCCTTTTCTTTCAGTCAACCCACAGCACTCAACTCAAAAAACACAAAATTGCAATGGAATCCTACTGACTTATTACTCGGGACTTCTTAACAATAACTCATTACTCAGGAGAATCAAATATTGGCACCATACTAAAAAAACAATAATAGACATGATAACTATTGATTAAAAAAAACACCAGATCCATAAAAGGAAAAACAAATTTGCATAGTAGAAAATCCGATAGTCAAATAGATTTGAACAAAAATAAAAACAAATTGCATAGTGAACGAATCTTATAAGAGGAAGACGAACAATTAAAGTTGGGGATTCCAGATCGATGACGATAAAAGACAAAGAAAATTGGGAACTGAAAGAAGAGATACCTGTGAGGAGGTCCTGGTAAAGCAACATTGTTGCAGAGATTCTCTCGGCTCAGATGGAAAGAAGGGTTTCAACTTCGAAGGAAGGAGCGAGCAACGAGAGAGGTAAGACTTAAGAGGGTTTGATACGAACACACAAAGACATATTTATAAACGAGGGTTTGATGGAGACGCCCAATTCTCGATTTCAAAAATACCCAATGAGTCCTTTTGTTTAGTCCAGCTTCACTCTGATTGGGCTGGGCTTCCATTCAAGCTAGACCACATCGATGGATCTCGGTTTCGGATTCCCACCACATTTATTTTGCAACTTTATGTTACTAAAATCGATTCGGTTATTCTTCCGGTCGAGATACTGGATTAATGGGTCACTGGTTTAATGAGTGAATTATTAATTTAACCGCATGATTTGATAATTATATGCAATTCTATAATTTATATGAAAAAATTATAAACATACTCAAATATCTAAAAAAAAGATAAAAATTTCAAATATTTTAATATAAAAAATCACATATTATTATCTAATAAAGGATTAAACAAAAATATAATGATCGTGATACGGGACTTCAAGTTCAGTAAACGACACCTCTAACTATAAATCAAATCAAGATTTATGCGTTGTGCATAATTTAGATAATATTAATGTTGTAAGTACATAACTTATGTAAGTCAAAAAAAAAAATTTCAAATATGTTTATTATTATTTATTTTTTTGAAAAAAAATGGAATTTTTTTTTAGACCTGGCCGAGTCACCAGTTAACCAACCAGGTCGCACCGGTTCTAATACATGGTCGATCCATTACTTCAACCGGACCGATTATATGACCAATTTATTGGTTCCCGGAGCGACCCGGCCGGGTCGATCCGGTTTTATCAACATTGCTTTCTATTTAGATGAACTTAAAAGTTAGATAAAAAAATAAAAAAGTAAAGACGTCAACAGGAAAAAAAATATTTCAAAGCATATTATTTTATATAAATCTTTAAAATCTTATGACAAAACATCTAATTAGGTTTTAATAGTGGTTACTGGTTAGTCTTTTACGTCAGACACAAAGTAACGTATTATAACATAGATAACAAATTGGAATTATTCTGAGAAAATATTTATAAAAATAAAAAATAATAATTAAATCTAAAATCTAAGCATTCGTCTTAAAGACCGGTTTGTTTGGGATTTTTTAATTTAGTTAAAAAAAATATTTTTTTATGAAAAGATATGTATAAAGAAATTTTAGATTATTACATAAATTTTTTTAGAAGATGCAAAAATACTCAAAATTTTACTAGCCTCTGCTGAAAGATACTTTTATATTACACTGTCATTTTCTCTAAAAATTACAATCCATTATGATACTTGAATCCATTTTAAGTCAACGAGTTTTTAAGGAGTAGTTTTTCTCTCTATGACTTCGTCAACTGCTCTTGCACCCTTATTATCAATTTTGAAAAAGATGAAATAAATTTTATGGATGAAGATGAAAAGGCAAATTATTATAAGCATATTTAAAACTTTGTTGCAAATTTTAATTTTTTTAAAAATTAACAATATAGTATTTAAAATTAGTTGTCAATAATACTAAGTTGCAAAAAAAATTTCTCATAGGACGCTAGTTCATAGCTACTTACTACCATTAGTCCATTACAGGTTTGTTTGCTTTAAAATAAATTAAAATATAACACATTTTAACTCTCAGGTAAAAATAAAAAAAAAACTTTAAAGTTTACCAAAAAAAAAAAACTTTAAAAATAAATAAAAGAAAGGATGAGTAATTTACCTAAAACAAAAAATGCAAAGCAGTACATAACTCGCGCTTTGGAAGAATCAAATGTTGTGTTTAGAATCATTAAAATTGAATCGAGTTTTATATCAATTGATTTGAACCAACTAGTCAACTACTATGTTTAAAACCCATTATAATTAAATAAATAAATAATTTGAAATATTTTATAAATTAAATTTATATTTAGAAAACGTTTAAAATGAAAAAAAAATTATTTTGTTTAATAATTAAGTTTCCTATTAAAATAGGCAGAATTGTTATATAAACAGTATAAAATCATCAATCCAAACAATTAAAACTAAATTCATATTAAATACACTTAAATTTAACAAAATTTGAGTAGATTTTCAAATACACATAAATTGAAATTAATTCAAAATAAAATCAATATTTTTTAAAAAAAAATTCAGACAAAAAGCATTATTTATAAACAAAATCAATTCTTAAAGTTAGTTATTCCCAACATTCCCAAAAGAAAAGTATAAAATGGTGCACAACGTCGTATCATATAAAATCAGAGCATGCCATGATCAAAATAAAGTTAATTCTCACATCGCTCTTAATTCGCGTGACATGAGGAGCCCTGACATCATTGTGCAAACAAGTTCAAAAGTCAGTAGAAAACGACGAAAATAGTAAAACCAGACACAAAAATAAAGAGGAAACTCATTTACTGTTTCGTAATTAACCCCTCAACCTTGAAACAAAATACCTCATCTATTGGAGCGTTTATTTTGTGCTCCCGGAACATTTGAGCCGGCGGCTAGAGAGAGGAGAGAGAAATGGACCACTAAATATTTTCCATCTATTGATTCACTTTTGCGTAGCATATACAACCTACTGCATTCTACACTACCAACTAGCTTGTACCTGGATATGCATAGTCAGTCCAGTCTACAATCTAACAAATGCCAGAAATCTTGAGCAACAGTCATCAAAATGTTACTATTTATCAAGTTTTTTATCTAAATGTCACGCGAACAGTGTTATTTTCTAACATGCCACGCAGGCAAACTTGCTGAGCACTGTAGCAAACTCAGTTTGCTGACGTGTCATGTTTTTAGTGGACACCAAGTTCGCCACACGGGATAGCGAACTTGATTAAAATTCATGTTCCAACCAAGTTCGCTACCCAATGTAGCGAACTTGGTATTTTTTTTTTTTTTTTTTTTTAACTTTGTAAATGCGACACGTTAGCAAACTGAGTTCGCTACAGTGCCCAACGAACTTGCTCAAGTGATATGTTGAAAAATAACATTGTTCGCGTGACATTTAGTTAGAAAAACTTGATAAAGAGTGACATTTTAGTCACTGTTCCAAATCTTGAATGGTTATTGTCAAATAGTGACAGAAGTGAAGGATCCTTCATCAAAAAGAACGCTGCTTATTTTAACATTAATGATTTTTCCTATTTCTGATGCCCAAAATGGTCCATGGACGACGAAGTATTGGATTACTGTTAAATGGTCATTCTTTGCTTAGTCAGCTTTCAATCTCAAGATTTCCTTAGCTGTTTTACGCCGGAAGTAAGGCATGTGTTCCTACAAATGGAATTATGGAAAGAGAAATTCAATTATGAAACCATATAAAAAATTAGCCATATAAATGAGGCTTCCTCTGCCAATTTGACGAGGCTTAAAATATGAAACCATTGAATCTTTTTAGAAGATTCCGGCAAGGAAACATTGGTATTATATCAGTTATTGGTTACATCATACACAATGTACGAAGATTGCACCCATTTTTTTAAAAGAATTTGAGAAATTTCAAGCAATTAAGACTCGAAACATTTTGCTATTGAATATTCTTGGCAGCAAAGCAATCTATATTGCCGGTAAGAAAGTGTTCCTCATCAAACAAAGATGAATGGCTTACCGAGTTAATGACTTGAGAAAAAGGAAAATATTTCAATACTATAAATTTAAACAGAAAACAAAGGCATGATTTTCTTGATAGAAATGGAACGCTCTGTCTTACCTGGTTGAAACACAGCCCCAGGTTTCTGCTATAAAAGTCAGTATATTTGATCATAAACACCCCACAATCATACCTGTTCAAAATAAAATTACATTAGAGAATAATTCGCCCACAAACTGCTGCAGACACTGTTCAGAGCTACAACAAACCCTGGAAACATGGGGTGTGCAAGGTCAGAGAATTGAGATTGTATTTGTAAAATACTGATGCCTAAAACATTTCTTATTTTTATTCCTTCCATTTTCTCTCCTAACAAACTCAACAACATGTATCGGTTTTTGAAATTAAACAATAACTCCAATAAACAAATTCTTTTAAGCAATCGACATACCATCAAGTTCTGGTGACCAAAAACTATATGCGTTAGTAGTAAATATTACTAATGAACACCTCGGCCACCTTGAAGGAACAGAAAAATTAAAACTTCCATGTACTAAGCCCCTAGGACTAATTTTTAGTCCAAACAACATCTTAATGACAAACAATCATGACACTAATAATCGATGAGTCAAATAGAGCTTCATGTAAGTTCAAGATATGGTCAACGTATAAAAATATATTTTCAACAGTTTGCTTGTAACCAATCAAAGAGCAACTTTTCTCCCTTTCATTTATATAGTGATTGCCTATTTTATATTTGATATCTACACAATAATGTTTCATTTTAAATTTTGAAATTGCAAGAAAATTATATTCATTATTAAGGGAAGCAGTTTGAGCCAATGACAAATAATTGGTATGTAGTAGAAATATACCGCGGCCTATTTTTTATTGCAGAATTTTTTTCCTCATTTTTAAAGATCAAGGAAAAAAAGCACTAAACCAAAGAATGATCCCATAAAGTGATTTGCAGAAGATTAGAAAACAAACCCATTCTCCTGTTCAGGAAGGTCTTCAACAAATTCTTTTTCCCAAGAACTTACATCAATATCTTTCCCAGTCTTGTCCTTTACTTCATCTACAAAATATCTAGCCTGGGAGACATCATTGATAAACATTATATATTGCATAGCCAAATGTAAATGCATAAATATCTTTCCTGACTTTCCCATCTAATAAAGTTATGCAGGAAATGGGGAAATAACTCATGCCCCTAATGAAATAATGTATGAAATTTAAATGGTTGAAAATGCTTGTCTCCCTAACAAAGAAAACATGACACTTGCCAAGTGGACCTCTTTCAAATATACACTTAGGCACTAAATAGTAGACAAAAGCCTGCACCTAACCAAAGCAAATCACAGTCATTTGGATTGCGAAAGATTTAAAAACCAACAAGACCAATTAACTACACTGGTAAAGCAAAGCACATTTTTCATGTAATGAATAATTAAATCTCATGTTAACCAAAACTGTAGCTAATATTGAAGATAATTCTAATTTACAATCAGTACGAGCATCATATCTGCAACAAGTTTAAAAAATAGATTTATACCTGCAATTTCTAATCAATCTTCCAAATGTTAAATGCTTAAATTCAAATACTACAGCCAACTTTCCAACTCATACTGTTTAAGCAATAATCATAATTTATTTCGAGATTAGGCGTTTCCCTTATTCCATAGTTCTGTCTTGATTTATCTATTAATTAGATTTTGATTTATCTTAAGTTGATTGCATGCAAAACCTCTATTTCAATTTGCTTCCTCAAAAAACCACTCCCTATTAAACCCCGACTAATGAGGGTAGGGAATTTGCTTCCTTCTAATTTAAAATTGTTCCATTTCTTGGTTGGCTGCCTAAAATTACTTTCAATGTACTCTGTCATTTTTTTATGTTCCCTCGTTCAGCAAATTTACTTGTTCAGCTTCCTCATCCACCTAAACTTATTCTAATTACTGGACTGAGGCATTACGGACACATGCATGATCATTGACCTTCACCAGTTGTCAATAGATGGCCTGGCAACTGGACAAACAAGATTTTAAACTCATCAAACTGAATCTTCTGCATCAGACCTAAGTTTTCTTCAACAACCAGCTTGTGTGAAGCCAAGTTTGGTTTGGTTTCAACTTCAACAGAGCTTTGACCGTTGACCCACTAATCAGATATAAATCAGCTGTAGCCTTATCTAATTCTTAGGTGACTTGTCAGCTATATGTACTAAAAGAAATGGCAGGAGATTTCCCAATGATTGTAAAGAAAACTAACAGGCAGTGTCCAACCAAATTAAAGCAGGACTGAAATTTCAATTTCCAAATAGCTTACAATGGCTTCCTCTTTCGAGAATTGATTGAAAAATTAATTCCAGACTGTCACACACTGTATTTGATATAGTAAAGGAGATAAAATAAATGGGTTAAATCCAATCACTCTACCCACAAATCACATGACATTGCAAAAAATGAAAAGAGAAAAGATTTTAAAAAAGAAAAAATTGTTATGAAAAGTATTGATGATTAAAAACCAAATAAAATTGACTTTCATCACTTCCAATACCTTTAACGAGCAATGTGCAATTTGGAATATGAAAATTTCAGTTAAACTACATAGACCAAAACTTTACCAGCACTTTCAGCACTTGGGTATCCATTCCTTTCAGCGAGTCAAGATACTGAAACTTCTTATCTTTCGTATTGATAACAGCTAGGCACCAATGGATCTCTTTATGAATAGGTACAAATATCTAGGAACAAGAACAAATCAGGTAAAATATTGGCACAAAAACCTATTTAATAGGTTATAAGAAAAACAAATTGAAAATTTGTTCGATATAATTACTTTATCACATTCATGTAGGCCATATCCCAATTTCTTTTTGCTGGTCCATCTCCTCACAGAGTTGAAATCATAACCATTCTTGCCATTAATTAACTGGCAATTAACATTCAAAATTAAAAGCATCAATACAAACCAAATATCACTAAATTACAGAGCAAATACAGATAAAACACATATGACATGTATACGTTTCTATCGTATATATGGATGTATAGAGGTTTCCTGTTCATAATATTAATTTGGGAAAAGTTCAAAAAAACACTATGGTTTTACTTTGAATCACTTCCGCGCCTATGCTTTTTTTTAATCATTTACCCCCCTATGGTTTTTCCATCAAAGTTCATGTTTAACACCATTAGAAACTAAACTAATCTACCTCTTTTACCCTTCTTAGAATAAGAGAATATACTTATGACAAAAAAAAGAAGAAGTAATAAGACCAAATATGTTTGGAACTTACAATACTTCTAGAAAAGACTAAAAATAAAAAAATAAAAATTAAGAACAAAAAAAGAAAGAAAAAATAAGACCAAATATGTTGGAAACTTATAACACTAGCAAAAAAAAAAAACTAAAAGTAAAAAAAATAAAAATAGTCTAAAAAAGAAAATAAACTGAAGATAAAAAAATAAAAGAAAAAATGAGACCAAATATGTCTAAATAAAAAAATAGATTGAGGACAAAAAATAGAAAAAAAACACCAAATATGTTAGAAATTTAAAAAATGATTTATTTTTCTTTTATTTCTTTTTTGTCTTATTTTTGCTTCCATTTCTTTTAACAGTGATAGAAAAGACTAAAAGTGAAAAAAAAATATAAGGGAAAAAAAAATATCAAACATATCTAAATCAAAAAGAAGAAAATAGTATGAGGACAAAAAAGAAAAAAAGAAAAAAACAAATATGTTGGAAACTTACAAAAAAAAAAATTCTTCTATTTCGTTTTTGTTTTATTTTTGGTCTTGTTTTTTGTCTTCAGCCTATTTTATTCCTTTTGATTTAGACATATTTTATCTTTTCTTATCTATGATTTTTTTTTTTTTTACTTTAGTCTTTTTTGTAAGTTTTGTAAGTTTCAACCATATTTGGTCTTATTTTTTCCTTTTTTTCCATGAGTCTATCCTCTTATTCTAAGAAGTGCAAAATAGGTAGATTAGTTAAGTTTTTAATGGTGTTAAGGATGACTTGGATGGAAAAAATCATAAGGGGGTAAGTGATTAAAATAAATAAATATAGGGGTGTGAATGATACAAAGCAAAAGCATAGGGAGGTTTTTGAACTTTTCGGTTTTTGAACTTTTCCCTATTAATTTGCAACAAACATTAGGAAATTCAACCAAAAAAGAAAAAAAGAGAAAGCACTCCAGGTGAATCAGAAGTGTTGGAACAATGAACAAATTTTTTAAAATTATAGATTAGGACTCAGCCTATGTAGTGCTTTGCTGCAAATCTCTACATAGCCGGTCCCAAGCCCAAATAAAAGAGGGTAGTGATAGACAGTCAACAGCCAACATAAAACTTTATTGAATCTCTATTACATGCATAGATGATGTCATTTTGTTAGTTTTGGATAGAATATAATGGCATCATTTGATTCATGTCGTCGACCCCACCTAGTGAGAAAAGCGTTTGGTTTGGTTGTTGTTATTGTTGTAAAGGCAGCTATAGATAAGTGTGAACTTCTTGAAACAATAGGCCTAATCTCCCTGCCATTTCTATGCCTTGCTAGAGTAAAGAAGATTTGAGGGAGAAAAAGGGAATGAAGTCTAGCATTCCCCGTATCTATGCAGGCATGTATCTTGGTATATGTAGGGAATTTGGAGCATCATCAATTAACAATATATATAAAAATTTCCCGTTTAAAACAAGAGTCAACAGTATCAAATGCTCCAAGCGGAGAAAACGGCTCCTTCTTCTTAAAGAAGTTAACTATCCGAAGGTGCAATTCATTTTCTATACTAAAGTCAACAATAAGTTATAATGTGAAGAAGCATTACTTTGTAAGGAAATATTTTCAATGCAAAGTATTTTGAGACAAGTTTATTAGAAATCATTTTCGGTTACTATGTTACTTTCCATGAAACAAATGAAACCTAACAAAAATCTACAAAACATGCCCCAGAAGATTAAGAAAGCCCAGTGGACATGTGCATGTGTTTGTGTGTGCAATCACTATCTTATTTTTAAGGATAGTAAAAACAAGTTACCTTTATGTAGAAAAAGGTATTGAAAAAATGACAGTTCAGAAACTTGTGTGGCTCTCTTCTCTCCCTCTCTTTCAGCAACTCAAGGTACAAATTTATCACCTGCAAAGGTAAGGTACAAGATCACTGAACTTCATGGTACAACAATTTCAAATCATGATATAATTAGACACCAAATTCTTTTCTTCCTCAGCAATTCAACAAAGGTTAAACAAACAATAAGCAAGCAAGATTACCTCATTGTTTAACCATGCATGTGGCCTGAGGCACTGAAAATTTTCACCCGAGATCTCAATGTTAGATTTCTCATGGGTAACCAAGACCTTCTTCCTGTAGAAGCAAGCCCTCAATGAGCTATGGTACATCTTAAACCATTCTTAATAACATATACCAAATTTTAAAAGCATACCGGTTGGCTGAAAAAGCACATGCAACCTCATCTTCTTCCTCCTTTGTAAGAGGAACAAAAGGTACCGATGGCACTTCCTGAAAGCCATAGTAAGACTTTGTCAATTGCACTAACATTTAGACTGCTTCTTATGCCTTGAGAACACTGGCATATTGCTATGCATTAGTCATAAAAATTGAGCATAACTAAATAAAGAACAACACACGGCTTAATAAGAATTATATCCTAAACAAACAAATATATAAAGATGGGCCAGTTAACAAGCTTTCACCTCTATTAGTTCCTTCTTTGGGAGCAACAAATTAAACGTGGACTTGAGCTTCTCAGTAAGTTGAATCTCAAGGCTCAGCCTATTAATCTTATCTGTTCGCTTAACAACAGTCTCAAGCAACTTCCTGTAGGCATGAACACTTGAAAGATCATATTCCGGACTCAGGGATAAAGTGTCGAACACCTTTGCAGCACTGACCACATTCAAATTACTGTTAGACAACTCAGAAACTACAGATGAAGTTGACTGTTGCTGAAGGCCACCATTTATAACCTTGGCATCCAAATGGTGGCCTTCAGCAACAGAGCGCAATTCTCGCCCATGTTCTTCTATAAAATGAACCTCTTCTACACCTGAATCTTGAGAAACCGCATCCTTGTGACTATCACGTGGGTGATTTTTAAATAACACACAGCCCCCAATATCGTTACGAACATTCTCATTATTAGAATAACCATAACCACCACTAGGCTTGAAGCTCGAACTGGTGGAAAAATCAAACTTACGTGGTCTAAACGGGGCGTGAATCTCCCTATTAAACGGCTGCTTAGCTTCGGGGTACCGGGAAATTCTTGAAACCATACTAGTCGATTCGGTGTGGTTGTGTGTCATGCGTGACAGTCTGGGTCTTTTCGATGGATAATTGTGATTCACGGTTAGGCAATGTTGGGGGCGTTTACCGTTGCTCGTTATGACAGCCATTGATTGATTCAGAGCTCTAGAAACGCATAATCCATTCAAGAAGAAGCATGTCAAGTAAGAATTGAGAAATTTGGGGATTAAGCAAAACCCTAAACGAAACGCAGAAACCGTTACTTGTGTTGATTTGTTGACTAAACTCCGCGCCGGTTCCCCTGACTGAGGAGGGAAGGTTTCTTTTTGTTTTTTAATATATGCTTTCGCGGCACAAACAGCAGCAAATCTTTTTCTTTCAAAATCTTTTTCTTTCAAAAATTTTTATCTTTCTTTTTCTGTCAATGTGAGTTTTTTTTTTTTTTTTTCTTACGGCATATTCAACGATTTGTTATGACGTCATTACATCACTAATTGTGCATGATTCGATGTAGGCGCCTCATGGCAATACTGTTTGTCACCCACGCTTTACAATTATTTTGAATTTTTATTACTTTCATTACTTTTAAATGATTTTGTCTTACTAATTTTTTTTTTTTCCTTTTTCTTCATTTAATTTGAATAAAATAATATATGCTAATCAGATTATATCACGTGACAAAGAATTGAATTCAATTCACCAACTGATGAATCAAAAAATATTGTAACAGTAATAGGTAAAAGTTAGGATAATTGTGATGATATTCTATAACGTGATTGTATTCCATAAAATATCAATGCTGTTTTTCTTTTATTTTTTTCTTATGAAAAATTTAGGGCTATGAGAATAAATTGTATACCTGATAATAGAATTGAAATTTCATTTATAAATAAAAAGTATTGAAAATGCTCACCAAAAAAAAAAGCATTGAAAAAAAGTGTTAAAATCATGTTACTTACATCAAATGGCGATATTCTGATTGATGCATGAGAACTAAGCAGATTAATAAAGTAAGAGCATGTTCGATCCTCCTTATTATTATTTTTTGGAAGAGTTTAAAATTTTAATTTTGGATTCACTCAAATCGGATTAGTACTAAACGATAAACCTTTTTTTTAAAAAAAAACGTGTTACTTACAGAGATGACGAGGGTAAAGTTGGGTTGTGATTATACTCGCCTTTAGGAAGAAAACTTTATGTGCCCAAACATATTCTTGCATCGAAAATAATTTGATTTCCATACTCATATCCAATGTTACTAAACTGTTTGATAGTCAGATATAATGAGTTTCATATTGGTTGTTAACAGATTAAGTAAAGTGGATATAAGTGAATGAATCCATGACGCTAATACATTAAGGTTTTGGGTTGAGATATAGGGTCAGATTCACTTTTTACGATTAGTGTAGCTTAGTCTATAGGTGGCATTACTCACTATGCTTCCTCCAAACCCGCCTAACAATAATATCAGAGTCGGATTGAGCTCGAGTTAGCAAGATGTTTGATTAGGAGGCGAGTTGAGTACTTGGCCCCTGCGGTACTCGATTGAGGGGGGGTGCACACTATCTATATTAAAAACAAAACGACGTCATTTTAGGACAGAAATCAAGATATTTTTATAATTATAAATTATTTTGGGTTATAATAGTCTTTCTCATTATAATTTTTTAATCCAAAACAATGTTGTTTTGGAAGTGAATGTATATAACTTATCTACATTCACTGTGAAAATATTAAAACCTTTTAAAAATCAAGTGGGACCTGCATTGTTTGTGTCAGCTGCAATTTGTGTTGTTCTCTCGCCGCAAAAGAAATATAAATCCCTTTATTCATTTGTCTAAAAACAGTAAAATAGTGGTTTAAATTTGCAAGTGTGACTTCTCGTAAAATTCTTATGCTACTCTTCATTTTAAAATAGGGTTGCTTTTTTCTAAAGTTATTTTAGATAATCTTTTTTAATATTCATCGAATATTATTTTAAGACAGAAATTGTGGTGTATTTGTAATTTTAATTTATTTTAAGTTTATAATAATTTTTATCATTCTAATTTTTCAATCTCAAAATAACATTGTTTCAGTGAACATAGAACAAAATTATATAAACCAACATTAGATATTTTTTCCCATTATACTTAAATTACTCATAATTCATTTTAAAAGGTTCCCCTTTTTTCTTATAAAAAAAATAATTATACTAGAGACGTTAATTTATCACTTGAGATAAAAAAAGATGTTATAAACAATCTTCTTTGACTTTCAATTTTGTAAATTAGTCTTGAACATTTAGATATCACACTTTTAAAGAGATTTTGTTGGTTATAACTCTACATAGTTACAAAACAGCGATATTAAGGCCTATTTGGTGTGATGTATAAGCTTATACTATACGTTATGACATTTTCAGTTATTTGGTGTGACCATCGTATAGTATAAGCTTATACAGCAGGACTCCTTTATACATCAAAATAATATATAACTTAATCCGGCCTAGAAGTGGTGGATTATGTCCCGTGCCCCACTAGCGCGTACCTATGCTTTGCAGTTTTTTTTATTATAATTGTCATTATTATATTATTAATTTGATGTCAATTTTTTTTTATTTCAATTTCATAATGACACTTTATAATTACAAAAACAATATAACCATGCATATAGAGATTTTGTCAAAAGCAGCAAACATTTTTATTAGTTTAAAATAAAAGGTTACATTATAGCCGTTTGTTTGGGGTAAGAAAATAAAAACACAACGGTAAAGATATGTCATAGAAAGATTTTTTTTTTTATATTAATTAATTGTTGCCTCATGATAAAGGATGAATAATATTAATTACTTAAATATTATAAAAGTTAACAACATTGGCTGAAAGTGAACCAAAACAAAACAGAAAATTAAATCAAAGGGATGACTTATTTTGATCCTTGCAGTCAATCTTCTTTTGCAGTATATGTTGCCATATGTTTTGCAGCACTTCAAGTGGAAGATGTTTAATTAAATAGTCACATGCACCATGCATCACACCTTTCATCACTTGCTTCTTATCTCTGTTTCCTTCCTGACAACACTAAGAGCCCGTTTAGATGAGCTTTTTTTTCTTCAAAAGCTGCTTTTTTTAAGAAAAAAAAGCACTTCTCGAAAAAAGTCTGTTTGGATGTCTGCTTTTAAAAAAAGCAGAAGTCATAAAAAAAGCCAAAAACTTACTTTTTTCAGAAGCTAAAAATTTTAGCTTCTCAAAAAAGCAGAAGTCAAAAGTCAAATATTTTTTTCAAAAATCAAATATTTTTTTAAAAATCTAAATAGCTGTAACTTTTATAAAAAGTACTTTTAAAATAAGGAAGTGATAAAAAAGACTTTTAAAAAAAGTGAATACAAACGGGCCCTAAATCTCGACAGAAAAAGCAATAACTTAAGTTGACATAAAATTCATTGCATAATTGTTAGGGAACACATTTCTATCAAGCTCGATTTATCTCTAGCATTGGGATAGAAAAATTAAAACAAATTGAATTTGAAATTTGAAAAAAATTATCAATTAAAATATTAATAATCTCATAATAAAGAGAAGTAAATCTCAAGTTGAATAAATGCTAAGAAAGAGTGTTTCAGCTTAGCTTACTAATGACAGGCAGGTCCATTTTGAGTCCTGCAATCTCAAGAAGCTTAAATCCATCCATGTGTATCATATTTACATCACTAATAACAAGATCAAACTTGTTTTTGCTTTCCCTCAACATTTCTAGTGTCTTAAGTGACTCAGTAGTTGGAGTAACTACAAAAATCATGAATCAGATGAGATTAAAGACCTCTTCAAATATCAAAGTAGATAAACTCACACAAATAACAAAAACTTAATCAGAATGGTGGAATTTATAGTTTTGACAGTACCATAACAATCTAGGAAAATAAATTTTAAAAAATGTTTCAGTTTTTGGAGAATTATGAAACACTTGTCTTGCGTAGAAAGCAAGTCAATGTTAAAAATAAAGAAAATTATAAACCGATGCATATATAAGTGACCAAACAAAGTATCCATGAACAAATCCTTGGATCAACTCACACAAATAACAAAAGCTTAATCAGAATGGTGGAATTTATAGTTTTTACAATAATGTAACAACCCACTAAAATAAATGTAAAAAAAAAAAATTAAATTATAAAAAAGTTTCAACTTTTGCAAAAAGTAAGAAACACCTGTTTTGTGTAGAAAGCAAATCAAGATTAAAAATAAAAATAAAAAGTTATAAACTTATATATATATATATATATATATATATATATATATATATATATATATATATATATAGTGACCAAACAAAGTATACATGAACAAAGCCTCTAAAACTAGAAAGAGGCTACAAAATATATATTTAGTCCATCACAATTGAAAACATGTTTTAATTCATGACCCCAAGACAATTAGCAATGCATATTCTGATTAAGCAAATAAAAGGTGACAAATCATGATAGTGGCATGTGCGAAGTATCTTCTCTTGAGAAATACTTCATTGTCATTAACTACCAGAATATGCATTCCCACTAAGAAATGGTCTTCTATCTGAACAATATTTTTGTGGTCCGGGTGAAAAAAAAAATTGATGAGACAGAGATAAGAGAAAGAGAGAAAAAGTTGAGGAGAGAGAAGGGAGGACATTTTTTTTGTTCAAGTATCAATTTTTAGTGAAAAGACCATGGTAGTCTTGGAATATATTAAAAAATTTCCTTCTGCCTCTTTTTTATCTACCAAATGATTCTCCATGGTCATCTAGAGTCAAAACCAAATAACTGTATGAGAAAACAATCAATGAAGTTAACATTTTTACAAATGCAACACAAGTTGAAATCAGAAATCATAGAGCAAAATGCATAATACAAATCTTTGGTACTGGAGAGAAAGTCTCTACCTCTTTCTTAACACTCCAACACAACAGTAATACCAATTACAATAGTAATTTTACCCTTTTTATATTGTGGTAGGGGATCAAGACCTTGGTTCTTGGTCCTCCTAGGAGATTGATCGACAAGGTATCAGTTATTTGCACAAATGAGATTTGACGAACTTTTATCTGGAAAGATTTTTGATGGACTTCAATTTTTCTTAAATTGCAGATAATTTAAATTTTTTTTTTCATAAATGGTTATAGTCAACTTCAAGAGAAATTCCATTTATTTGTTTAAATTAATGTACTTTCCATAATTAAATTCACGGATTTATGTCTAAAAACTTAGCCAACATAATTTTTTCAAAAAAAATTAGCCCATGATTCTTGTTAGCTAAATATAGATACTAACATTGTATTGTCTCCTCAAACCAATCAAAAAAATGAAAACTTCCAAAGCAACTAATCATATGTACATTCCTATTCCTATGCCCTATTATACTGTTTTGCAAATTTCAAATACCAATAATGATGTTGAATTTAATCGCCCCTGTTAATTAACGGTAAGTAAGTGACTACCAATTTGAATTTTTTTAATTACCTATTAATTAGTACATTATCTGTGCGTTGTACGGAGAAAAAAAAATAGTTATGGAGCGGGTTACATTGCCACATAACTTGTTGGAATTATTATGGTCCTTTGTTTCAAAAATATTTTCATCAATATCATCTTACTCCATATAAATTGTATTTAAGTGATAATAATATTTTATCATTAAATTCAAAATTCATATTAAATTTAAATGACCCAAATAATAATTAACAAAAAATAATTCTTCTTTGTATGGTAATTTTTCAAAATCTCTGTAAATTAAAAGTCATTAAATTTATTTTCAATAATGATAATTCGATGATTATTTTTCTTTTTGTTTCCTATTTTAATGAAAAAGTATCAACATGTAAATAATTATTTTCAAAAATTGACATTAAATTAGCATTATCATTTTGACTTAAATTAAAAATTAAACATATATTAAATTTATTGAGTCAAATAATAATTAATAATATAAGTAATTTTCATTTATTTGATGATTTTTCAAAATCTCGCTAATTCAAAAACTTCAAATATATGGTCAATAACATTAATTTAATAATTGATTTTAGTTGTAATTGTCAAAAATTAAACACAAGATATATCCTTTTAGTTATAAAGCATTGCATATGAAAACAATCTCTAAATCATTGATTTTATTTTAGGATAGGCATCATGTTACTAAATTTTAGTGATAGGCAATTGTTTTCACATATAAACCTAAAAAGTGAGTGCATGTCTTATAATGGGTTGATTGTTTTGATAAAAAAAATCTCTCATTAGGTTCGAAGGCTTGGGGAAAGAAGAATTTGTTGGCCCAGACTAATTGTTGTTAGTTAGCTTTTTTGTTTCCGTTGTTCTTTATTTTATAAAAAAAACATTTATTATTATTTTTTGTAAGCAAAAAAACATTTATTATATTAAAAAAACATTTATTATTTTAAAGTATACAACCGTGTTTAATGCATATTTGTTAATTTTTTATGTTCTTTATCTTTCATAAAATTTCCTTAATCTCATTTCTCTTAATATCTTGGACTATGTAGCACGGATACTGACACGTGACACGACACTCCGACACGTTAATTTTAAAAAAATTTAGATTTCGACACGTTAGGACACGTTTTGATATTAAATAATATTTTTAATTTATGTAGTTTATATTATATTTAATATTCAATAATTTAAAAAAAATAAAACTAAACTTATAATATTCATCAATTTTAAAAAGAAACATAAGATATCCCAAATATTTATATTAAACTCAATAAAATGGTAATCGTAATCCAATGAATCTAATAGTTGGAACTAAAAACTCAACACAACGAAACCTTTGAATCTTTTTTTGAATTTCTATAACACATGTTGAAGTGTCGGGGAGTGTCGGAGTGTCGGAGAGTGTCGGACACGGCACGTTAGAATTTTTGAAGTGTCGTGCTTCGTAGGTTGAGAGTATGAAAATATATAAAAAATTAATAAATATATACCAAAATACGATTGTTTTATTTAAAATAATGTAAATGTCCCATGTTTTTGCATATAAACTATGGGTTTTATAATTCTCATTCAACATGAGAATTCAAATTTTCCTACACACCCTTCGATTTCCGTGCTGACATGGGTCCTACATATAATTTTTTCTAACACATGGGTCCCACATGCTTTTTATCTCTACAACATGAGAATTGAATTCTCATTCAACATGAGAAAATCAAACCCCATAAACTATTGTTTAGATAACTTGACAAAATTAGCATTAATTTTTCATTATTATTTTAACATTAAATTCAAATTTAGTATTAAATTAAAAATTGATATTAGATTTATTATTCAAATAATATTTAACACCACAAATAATTCTAATTATTCTAATGCAATTTCTTACTATCCTTACAAATAAAAATATATATCAAATATATTACTCTAATAGAAAAAAGACAATTGATTTTTTTTTTTTTCATTTTTCGTCCAAAATATCTATTGCTTTAGAGCATTTTCTTATAAAAAAATAGGAAACAAACAAAAATTTGTGACTCCCTCAGATTATTTAATAATAATAATAATAATAATAATAATAATAATAATAATGATAATTTTTTATTTTATTTATTAAAAAAATCCCAAAATGTGTGGTTATAATTTATTTCATATACAATATATAATTTTGTGTTTGTTTAATAGTCATACCTATTATTGATAAACCATTAACAAACAAACTCCAAAAAAAAAAATCACTTGAAAATTATTACAAACTACGCTACATAAAACATAATATAATTGTAAATTGGGTTCGCTTTTTCTGCAGTTACTTCAGATAAGTTATCTGCAGTAAGCCCAATACGACGTCGTTTTGGGGCGAAAATCATGGTGTTTTTATAATTTTAATTTATTTCAGGGTTATAATAGTCTTTATATTTGTAAATTTTTAAGATTTCAATACCAAAACGACGTCGTTTTGGAAATAAATGCAGATAAGTTGTCTGCATTAACTGCAGAAAGTAAATTATTGTAAACAATACTTCAGTAAATATAATACAAATTATAAATTATTACAAACTATACTCCAAAAAACATAATATGATGATAAATTATTATAAACAACACTCCAAGAAATATAATTTTATAATTATTATAAATTATAATTTTATAATACAAATTATAAATTATTAACAATGTAACACCTAGTTTTAACATTCCTTAATAATATTATTATTCTTACTTTATTGGAGTAAATTGATCGTTTATTGACCTTAGCAATTGCTTTCAATATTTCTTTTATAAATTTGTTTTTTCTGTAACTGAATATTAGTTTGGAAACATATTTGCGTCAAAGTTTCTAAAGAACTATTGATTAATTGTTTAAATAAGAGACATTAAACATAATCAAATAAACCTTCACATATATTGATCTTGATCCAAAACTAAACCCCATTACATATATATGGATTCTAATAACCAAATGTCAAATCTATTGAGTTTTTTCTTATAAGATATTGTTTTGTTTTTTCAAGATCCGCCAGAAATAGGATAGAAAATTAGAAAGCATTGCATAAGAAAACAATCAACCCATTATAGTAACAGAATGGTAGTCCATATCACTAAAATTTAAAATAGAAAAAATAAATTTAGAGAGAGATTATGTACCACGTTGCAAATATTTAAATCATGAGAACAAATAATTTAATATTACTTACTCTCAAGTTTTGATCTTGAACATGCACTCACATATTTAAATCAAGCATGTAGCACTTGAACCAATACCGGTTATTTTAATCTACTTTATCATACATTTAGTTAGGAAAGCTTGCAAATTTAAAGCTGAGGGGCCGAGGGAAGTGATTTTCGAAGATCACAAATTCCACCATTCACATGATTCAGATCAATTAATATCAATATGACGAATACGGTTCTTGTTCAAAATAAAAATAAAAAAACATTCCCAATCATCCATTTCGGTTCAGACTACCCATATTTGGAAGAGTTTCAAAGGTTACGTTGACAAAGAGAGTCCTCAATATTCGAGTCAACACTACACAATTATGATTAAACGTAATTATAGAAGCTAATGATACACAATCGCCATGGTTTAGGGTTATTTTTATCTCATACATCATCCCCCAGGTCATAGTCTACAAGTAAAACCATTTCAAAAAGGGAAAAAAAAAAAAAAAAAATTAAAAATGGGACATCTAAAGCGTACATGATGCCTTGCTCATATAATGGAGGAGATGGCAAAGAAAAATGGTTTATAGTAAACTGATCACATGTTTTTTCATAAATTAACATGCAACTTCATGGTTCTCAATTTTTATCATGTACAATGAAGGCTTTAACCATCGTTCATCTCCTGTAAGATTAGACAAGATAGAGGAATTGTATCATTTAGAAAAGGAAAAACTTTTCTTTCTCAAACCATTAGCATTATCAGCTATGGCATGCAATGAACTTGGAATTTTACCTGTATAATTCAAACAAGCTGCACAACAGCAATGACCCTTAGGGCCCCATTTTGGAGAAGATCACCAAGTTCATCAAATAGCAAAGCAGTTCGCCAACCCCATCCTTTAGGAGCTTTAGGTAGAAGAGTGCCTGTTTGTTTAAAGCTTCCAAACACCATCATTTCCCTCTTGGATGGGCAAGTCAACTGAATGTGAAAGGCAAAGCAAACCCAGAATTATTAACCAAAATGAAAGAATATCATGAAACGCAACAAATAATTAACGCAGTAATTCACTACTGATATTACCTGGTAGCGTGCAGTCACCTTTTCACGCGAGTCAACATACATATGTACCTGATAACACATTTCAAAGATATACCATGAGTTCTGGTCTAACATCTAATTGAAGATTTATAGCTACAGTTATTTATTGGCAATCAGCTAGCAAGTATATATGCCATTGCCAGGCCATATAATCATATTTTATAATAACAAATGAAAAAAGGTGCCATACTTACCACTAAAAGCATTACTCTCGGTTATTAATAAAATAAAGCATTTCACATTTAAAAACGTAATCTAGTTCCAAACTATCTTTAGGCCCAGATGATTTAAATACAAAAAAAGTCCTGCTAACCTTTCTATGTATATCAGTTATCTCTGCCTTCCGACGGTGAAGAAACAACCCTGCATCAACATTAAAATAAGATCCCCAAAAGATTTTCTGTATTTAATATTAACATTTATTCACGTCCCAACAGTAAGAATTTTGATGTATTAAAACATTACCAAGGGTACGCCGTCCCTGGGGGTCTTCATCATTAAAAGCCTGTACACTGACCTGAAGATTTAAACAAATAAACTCTTCATACCAGGACATGCAAAATCATCTTAGATGAATATAATGATTAATTGACTTCCATGTACCTTCCATAAAGAACCAGCATAGAAAAATTCTGGAGAATGCTTGACCTGGCCATCACCAAGCCTATGCACATCCTCAAAATGCACACTGCAAAACCAGCAGGAATTTACAGAACATTTAAATAAATTGATGAAGCTTAGTACCCAAGAACTGGGAACCTCAAAGATAAAGAAATACCAACAGAAGCAGCAGGAGTATGACTAAATGTATAGAAGTTATGGGATAAAACAACTGATACAGAAATAACGAAAAAATAAAACAAAATAAAATTGCGAGAAGCCCCGTAAAATCCCAACCAGATTGCAAGACACCTTCCATGCATTCAAGAAATAGCATAGGTCATAAAATATTAGACATGTTAAATCCAATTTAAAAGAAGTATTGATCTAAAAAAGTCAAGAACACCATTCGTACATGGACGGTAGTTGGAGTCGGTGGCTCTCCTAGGGTTTCCTCATCTGGGATATGTATGTCTTCTCCTCATCAAAGCAGGGAGAATGGGAGAGAAGAGGAAGATGATCCACAAACTATATGAGGATATCGATATTTGATGCATATGAGGTTTAAGGAAATCTAAGAAGCCCTCCTAAATAGCATCAAATCAACAACCAAGTTCTGGTAATGAAAATGTCAGCAGATAGCCGTCCCAATGAAAAACAAAAAAGAGAAAGAGAAGAGATGCGAATATGAAAGATACTTATATTGTGAATAATAACTGAGGAGGATTACTAGATCTAATTGACCCAACACAAACTTGTGGCATTGTGAATATGTGAGCCGGGGCACAAAACCAGTCCATATGACAATGATCAACATATACCCTACTAACTTTAACAATTGTCAATAATTGCAAAGAGGTTAACTTACCCAAAGCGAAAAGGAGGAAAATGGTTTAAAGGTGTTTTCAAATCTAGTGATATAGAAGAACTGTTGGCATTCTCCCATTCTATACCAACAGTATGCTCTGGTGTCTCTAACATCTGCATGGGAATGCCACCAGTACTTGCACCGCCAGCAGTAGATCCAGACATGCTGCTTTGCAAGCCCATTTCATATCCTCTTTGTGTTAGCTCTGTATGTATGTTTGTTCCGTTACTCCCTCCTTGACTTAGCCCAACCAAAGCTGTCAACCCATCCCCAGGAAGTTCTCCATTGTGGTCAGCCCGTGTGTCTGAATCATCATTGACTGCAGATTGAGGGTAGTTTCTGTTGCTTACGCCAAATGGTACACGAGAAAAGACAAAACGTGTAGGAGGCAAAGCAGCTGCTGGAACAAACGTAGTTCCACGGCCAATTCCTGCAAGCCCATCAATAGCACCTCTAACATGTACCCGCACAGGTCTGACAGGGCCATTTCTTTCACCAGGAGAAGATTCAGCAACATATATATTTCCCACATTCCCAGCCATATTGTTCTGATTATGTTCTTGCATGTAAGAACCAGTGGTAGAAGCTCCATGTGAAAATGCAAATTGCTTCTGGCAAGTGCAAGCCATACTCATAAGGGAACAAACTTTGCACGTATCAGCAGCAATTTCTTGCACCCTCTGACTAAGAAGCATCTAAAAAAGCCATAAAGTTTAAAACACCAAAACAATAATGTCAATAGCATTTCACAACCAATAATTTCTGTACCAAGAATAGTAATTTCTACACCAAGTTTAATGTCCTATATATTGAATGATTGATCTGTGCAGAGATTGAGGTTGTAATGTATCTAAATACCATCAGGAATATATGCTTTTTGATCAGTATACTGAAAGTTTATATAAACTTAGTCTGTTTTAGAGGCACAATGAAAATGTAACTTGAAATTATGTAAGCATTCTTTGAGATGCCAAATGCAAAAGTAATTTCAATAGACAAATTAATCTCAGTCCAACCTGCAACCAAAGACCATCATTTACAGCTTTGCAAGGGAAACCCAACTCTTCAAGTTGCTTTCTAACAATTACAAGTGCGTCAAAAGACATATTGCAATATAAAAGAGAATCCCCTTCAAATATATTAAGAAATGCATTGTATTCATCTCCATGACCTCCAAAATTTCCTCTGGGATGAGCTTTAAGCTGTCTTCTACCAGCAACCTGGCCTCCCCATGAAAACAAAGGCGTTCCATATCTTCCCCAATCACTGGATGTGAGCCCATTACAAGAATTCGATGAAAAGCAATGACTTGATTGATCCCTAACTAAGCAACTATTGTTATCCAAATTGTAGCAAGATCCTTCAGCAGAAGGCCCTTCAATACCCACTCCAGTGGCTCCCAGACCAGTTGCTCCAGCATCAAGAGGCATCTCAACATAACTTGATGTTCGCATCCCATCTGTATCAGACAATGCATTACCCAATGAAGGCCCTTCCATGTCACAAGGATGGCTTGCATTCAGGTTTGATGAACTGGCAAATGAAGCTTGTTGAACCCGTTGATTGGAAACAGAGACTCCATGGTTGCAGTCTGCCACAGAGTCTGCAAGCTCAACTAAAAGATTAGGAATGCTAGGGTCCTTTAGATCACTTTTAAGACTCATTTTCCGTATATCAGTTTCCAACCCCGTTTTAGGGCAGCTATCAGTTACACTTTTTCCCTTAGTGTTATCAGAATCAGAATGAATACCAGTTGCAGACTCAGAACCAGAAATTCCAAGCACAGGACGTTCGACCTTACAGTGGGCACCTTTTGCCAAGAATGTGTGCAAAGCCAGTTCAAACCTTTTTATGAAGTATTAGAGAAGTGTTAAGCAGTTTACGAAACTTAAGCTGTTAACCACAAAACCAAAATAAAGGCTCAGGAACCACTTACCGTTTCTCTTCACTGGGTATCCAAAGATCGTTAGAAGTCAGTAATACATGCAATGTTTGAGATGAAAGTTTAGGAAGCACCTGCAACAAGAAAATGCTGTTTAATCCAACTTAATCTTTGTATATAAATATATAATCAAGAACCAGAACTACCAAAACCACCAGATGCAAGCATGGGCTTTTATTTTCCTCATTACCTCTTTCAATTCCATGCCACCACTTTGACAGAGGTAGCCCCAACAGGCAGTTCTAACACGCTCCCCATGAATGCCATAGTCTTGGTTCTCCGCAAACACCTAGCTTACAAACATACACCACCAATAACTAACCAAAGAAATTGTACAGTATTATTTAAATTTCACAATGAGGCTATATGAGCATCTAGATTGCTGAACCTGATAAGCCAAGAAGTTTGAAGTCCACAGCTCAGATATAATGAAATCTGTACATATTGCACATAAATCCTGCAGAAATGTACAGATACAACAAATGAAAAATATTGCAAAAACTTAAAAAGCAATTTACCAGGAACTAATAGAATAAATATATAAATGGTTAAGAGAGGTCCAACACAACTTTAATATTTAATGTTATCGTAACTATGGGCTTCAAGTCATTATGTAAATATCATACCTGAAGATCAAGAAAGGAAGCAGCAGCAAGAACACGAAATGCATTATTATCATTAAGCTTAGGATAGTGCCCATATAGATATGCCAAAGCCATTGCAATTGCCTCATCATTAACATTCTTATCATCAACATGCAGAGTCACAATAGGAGCACTGGCTTCTTTCCAAGGCCCATGAAGCATGTTCCTAACAGACACACAACAGAAAATAAATAGTAATGTTGTCAGACAAACAAAATAAATACTTTACTATAAGCCATTATACAGTGTGCGTGCATTCAGTAATGGCTACAAGCCTACAACATAAAGCTACAAGCAAAAGCAAAGAGTTTAGGCATACAAATTACATATTCATAAGCCAGAGCATGAAAAAAGATTGAAAATTTCTTGTATATTTGTTTAAAGTCATACAAGGTAAAATATTTCACTCGTGTCACTAATTCAATAGGGCAACAACTAAGGACGAGAGAATCAATGAAATTATATTTTTTAGGGTGGGAAAAAAAGGACGGGCAACAAAACTAAGTATTAGGAATCAATATTGTCCTCATGGATCTTGAGCTTAAAAGTTTTACATCTGACCTTCATTAATGCTGAACCTATCAGCCATACTCTTTTACCAACCATCATTACCCTTGTCCTAATTCCTCTCCATGAAGATACAGATAACAATTAAATTATTGAAGGGGCAGGTAAAAATGTTTAAGTTGATGGATTTAACCAAATTTCAATAATTTATTTTTTATAAAAAAAATGCAATTTTTAGACCAGAATAGTAACAGAATAGAAGAACCCATTAAAACTTGCTATTCAGAGGAAAAGAAAACAATGATTGGAAGCGGAAATTATAGGTAATTGTAAATGGGTACCTGAAATATGAACTGCGGGAGAGGATAAGACGATGGAGATGATAAGTGGAACCCATTGCATTGATAACGATATCGGAGAAAGAGCCGGAGTTGAAGCCTTCGATTTGGACATGCTCGCAGAGGGAAGCAAGGTTGCAATCGAGAGCACGCAACTCCGTGGTGCTTTGCGATGGTGGAATGGGGATTTTGATGTTGGGAATGGGTGCATCTTCGTGTTCATAGGATGGAGGGTTGTTTGGGTACTGAGCGTCGTCCATGCGCATGTCGTATAGTGGGGGTTAGCCTTTGTCGTTTGATAATGCAGCGCAGCAGGGTAGAGCATATCAAAGACACGGGTCATTATTGTCTTTTTATTTATTTATTTTTGGGTACAAAATTCATTATTGTCTTTGTGTCCATAACAATGACGACGAGATCACTGATGATTCTCCTTTTCATGCATTATAGGTGTGTGATGCACTGAGTAAAAGGATAAAAAAAATTATTGATGGTTAATTTCTAAAAAAAAGCATGTCATGATATATATATATATATATATATATATATATATATATATATATATATATATATATATATATATATATATATATATAGGGGCAGGATATTCTTACACTGGTGTAAGAGTTAGAAGTCTTACACTCAATCTTGACCATTGATCCACTTGTATCCAATGGCTCACATTACTAAAAAATTTGAGCTCTTAGATATAAATGGAATCAGTGGACAAGATTAAGAGTGTAACTTACACTGGTGTAAAATGATCATGACCCATATATATATATATATATATATATATATATATATATATATATATATATATATATTGACGATGCACGAGGGAAAAGAAAATCAGTTTGTCTGTCTCCTAAAAGTTAACGCAAATCGTAAAAGTATATGGCTGCATTTTATACAATTAAGATAATAAATGGTCTTTTCAATTACCATATCTAACTTTAACTATGAAGTGTTTGTTAGATTATTAAATGTATTAACTCAAATATTTGTCAACTCTACATGTATAAAAAGTTGGAGTTAGGTACCATCAAAGTGTTAGTTAGACATTAACAACCCTCCAAATCGAGCCCATTTGTCATCTCTAATTGTTAACATTTTATATCAACATGATTCATTAGACAATAAATATAAAAGGAAAGAAAACGTGTTGGCGGCCTAACACGCCCATTTGACATATATATTAGATGAAGAGTTAAAAAATATTTAAGTTATAACGTTTAATATTCTAACAAACACTTCATGGTTGACGGCCCAAATAGTATTAAAATAATAATATATTGCAAAATATTGAATGGTCATTCCTTTTAATTGAGTAATTAATAAAAATAAATTATTATTTTTTTGCTAGAATTTGTGGCCTTAGTATTTGAAACTTTACAAATTAGTATTTACAAAATTGAAATCAGATTTAAGAATTTAATTTTAAAAGATGAAGAGTAAAATTTTAATTTAATTATAAAAACGTGTTGGCGGGCTAACTCGCCCGTTTGATGGGCTGGCCCTTTAAGTGTATTTGAATTTTCTCTTTTTATATTAATTTTTAATTTATTTTCTTTTATAGCATGAATATGTCATTTCTTATTTTTTATAGCATGTATATTTTTATATTTTTAAATATTTTTTTATTTAATCTATAATTTTATATTAAATTTAAATTTATTATATATATTTTTTCCACGTTCCATTTATATTGGTACCATTGTACTGCTGTGTAGTCATAAGCACAGTTAAGAAAATTAGATTTATGTGTAACCGCAAAAACGCTCATAATTCAGCATGAGATGCAATGTTGGAATACAAATTTCATCCAATTTGTAGCAGTATATTCCATTTATATTGTTGTCAAAAAATTGAGAAATTTAAGACACATTGGTAAAACTTTGTTTTACATACAGGTGTTGGATACAGAAATTTATGCTAAACTAGAGATATTTCGTTTTACATTATTTTTATGAAGTTTGAACTGGACTGTAGATGAACACTAAAATTCTTGCAATTTGAACTGATTTTCAAAATTTCAAAATTTACATTACACCAACAGTATGAATTTCCCGACATATCCCACCACCTCGCCTACTCCCACTATCCCCAAGGACTTCTATAAGATCACCTACCTAGTGGCACCAGCATGGGCACCTTATATCACATACCACCAAGGTTCAGTCAGTAACAAGCATCCTTCACCTCTGCTCAGCTGTCGGCTCCATCATCAACTCCAACTTTTGACTTTGATGGAAAAGACACACTGAATTTCAACAATTGTCCAGAGAGAGCATGACCATTGACTACGGTGAGAATTACTGTTTCTTCACTATGGACATTCTTTGTGGCACTTGTTAAAATAACAGTCATCTCGATGTGATAAATTATATCTCATTTCGATCTTGTTCTATTATAGAGCACAAGGCCATCTCAACATCAGTAAGTGGTTGCCCGGCATAGAGTTGAAGCTGCCTCTTTTTCACAACTACTACTTTCTCGGCATGTGATATTATTTCTTCATTCAGTTCCTGCAAAACATTGGAAATATCCCTTAGGACATGCATATATCAAACATTATTCAACAGCCAACTAGAGGTTTATACAATTGGCCACTAAATGATAGTTTTCAATCTCCATATGCCTGGTTAAGGTGTAACAATGAGGCATGTCAGTTATATGTTAGTGCATATAAGGTTTTATTTGCTGAGTAAGATGAGATTATTACCTGTATTGACATAGGAACTGCATCAGCACTAAAATCACCCAAATCTTTAAAAAAAGATTCCAGTAGAAAACAGAAGTTGTAGGCATCAGCATGATCCTCAAAAGCAACAGTATAGGAATCATCACTTTGGTCCTGTTCCTTAGAAGTGAACTTTAAGCTATAGAGACCTTTTGGTCCTTCTCCGTTGGAACCTCTTTGCATGAAAATGACCTTCACCAATATAGATTGTGACTTCAGGGTCAGATGCAAATGGATACACATAGGGACAAGCATAATATCTAATGATGCTTTAACCAAACTCATGTCTATCTCAAGCACAACCAAAAGAATTCTAAAGTGTATTACATGAAAAGGTCCTACAATGCAGGATATGGACTCGGTCAAAGTTTTTAAGGATTAACCTCAGACAAAATTTTAAAGGGTTCCACAGCTTTAAGAATAACGAGGTTGTGAAGATTAAATAACGGTGTAGTATTAGGTAGATATGGTAGGTCCCTCTACGGTTAAGTACTTAAGCTACTGAAAAACAAGTAAACAAAAAGAATTTTCTTGCACATACTAGAACATAACGGAGGTTCAGCCACCACACATCAGTATTAGCGTTTGCTTGCTTAACTTTGACTCTCTTAGCCGCAGAACTTTTTTTAGCTAATCCATGTCTAGAACTGCCATTTAGACTGTGCACACCATCCTTTTCAAAAATTGGGCCAGTGTCCTGGTTTTCTTCCACAAAACCCTGAGAATTTTGTGTCCTCAATTCTTTTGACTGTATTACTTCAAGTGAAGATATCCCAAAACCAGTCTCCTGGACACCACCTAAACATATAAAAAATAACTCAAATTGTGCTAAATTTATTATAAACCAACCTATGTTTAACTGGTTACTTCTTGTAACAAGTAAACAGTTAAAACCACCAAAAACAAAAAATTGTCTGCATATTTCTTGTTCTGTTTATTCAAATTGAAATTGCAAGTCATACTAAAGTTTTTTACTGCCTTAATAATGAAAGTCGAACAATGATAGCACAAACAAAACTCTGGGGAAAACAAATGGCATTTCAAAATGTTTTACTCATATGAACAATGTAAGAATAACTATAGTCAAGGATTAGGAATTCAAATAAATGATAGATATGAAAAGACATTTAGAAGTTATAGATTGAAAACATTACCATTTTTACTGCTTTTAGTTTTAACTCCAACTTCTGTTTTCGTGTTTGGTGTCTCCATCTTTCCTTCCAAATTCTTCCCATGATTTATAATTGCCACGGATTCGTCATCAACAAATTTTCCTCTCTCCTCCGATGGAACACTAGAACTACTTTCCGGAGTAACAACATTTTGTTGAGTCAGTCGCTTGTCTTCATATAAATTTTGCGCATGATCAGTAGCATCACTTGCATAATTTTGAGCTGTACTTTTACCCCTACCTGCCGAGTCCCTCTTTCTTGCATCAGATGATCTACCATTTCGTGTCCCCGGAAAGCCCTTGGGAGTTTTTTCTACCTTAGCTGAAGGGCTTCTAAATTTAAATTTTTTCTTAAATATTAATGCCTCATTTCCCTGATTCACATTCTTATTGTCATCCCTAGCAACTCCAGCTGCAGAATTTCCAAGAGTATTGATCTTTAACGCTGCTGAACTATCCATATTACTATTTACACTATTCTGCAGCTTCAATAAGCGTGCACCAATCTCTCTCTCAATATCAAGTCTATGACTAGAAACAGTGCTTTCATCATCAATTTCAGGATCCTCATCCTCTTCCTCTTTCTTTTCTAACTCAATTCTCCGAGCTTCCCTTGCCATTAACTTAATTTCCTCGATTTTCTTTTGCATTACAAGTTGGTCCTCCACATCAAAAACATTGCTAGCACCAGTAACTGGCTTAGTTTTCCCATTCCCATTGAACAAAGTGTTCCTCTTTTCCCTTCCATTTATCTCCAAATCCCCATCTTTCTGGTCGGAATTATAATTTCCCAGAATCCAAACGGAATAAATCGACTGAAACACAAAAGCCCCAACCAAATACATACCACCGTATTTGACGATAGTCGTGGCAGAAACGTCGCCAAAAACATCATTGTGTTCGGCAGCGACCTCAGAGACTTGTAATTCTTCCAATTTATCAGGTTCTGCATCAGCAGCGGCTACAGCAATATCTTCGCCGTGCGTCTCGTCAGCGGGAATCTGGACACAGAGGTCGCATTCTTCTTGGGGGAAGAGGATTGGCTGTGGTGGTACAAAAGGAACGATGGGTTTAGTTAGGGTTTTAAGAATTTTGGGTCGCAAATAGTTTTTCCTGTGCCTGAGTTTTGATGAAACTAGTATCACAGAAGGTGTTCGTCTGCTACTCGAAGGTGCAAACAGGGAGAAGACACCGCAATGCGCACTCGCCATTGCCATTGGTGCGTTTTAAATTTTCAATTTTGGATCAATGTCTATGGATAGGTTAGTCTCCAGTCTCCATGGCTGCAATTGTAAGAAGAAGAAGGAGCTTGCGTTCAGTTCAGTTCACGTTAGCTTCTTCCCGGGCCTGGGCCTGGGGGCGTGTCATTTCGGCCCAATTTACTTACCGAGTTTTCTAGACAGGGACAAAATGGGAAAGAGCTGAATTGCATTTTTCTTACCTTTGTTTTGTTTTATTTTATTTTCAAAGGGTTTGTTTTTTCTAAAATTACTTTAGATAACTTTATCTAATGTTCATCGAAAAGACGTCATTTTGTGGCTGAAATCATAGTACTTTTATAATTTTAATTTATTTTAGGGTTATAATAATCTTTATTATTTTTATTTTTTTTATTTTTCAATCTCAAAATAACGTTGTTTCAATGAATATTAGATAAAATTATCTAAAACAACATTAGATACTTTTTCTTATTTTTAAATTAGGTTTACATAAATAGTTATTTATTATCTGGTTTTTTCATATTACATGAGAATTAAATTATCATGTTGATAAATTAGAAGGTCATGAAAATTGAATTAGAAATTCAACATAAGAAAATGTTTTTCCCCGCAATTCTCACGCTTATTGTAAATTTCTATAAAATGAAAAAATAAAAAAGATAATAGTGAATAGTCACAGTGTTGGTCTCGGAGCGCACAACACAGAACAGTGTTTCAGTGTGACAAGCACCGCATGGCGTCAAATCCGAAGACGTTGGTGTCTGTCTCTGTCACTGGTACCGCCGGAGAGTGCCCTCAAAAGCTGTCTCTTTCAGGTTCTGTTCCTATCCGAGCTCCTCCTACACTTGATGATGATGATTCTGAATTTGATGTTTCGAGTAATGTTGCTCTTTCTGATGCTGGCTTTGACTCTGACGATTTCCAAACGGCAAGCCCTTTGGTTACTGACCCAGAATCAGATTATGTTTCTCAAGAAGAAGTTGATTTTGAAGTTGGTGAGCGTGCCCCTCTTGTGCACGTACAACTATCTCCTATGCATGCTGCACCTTCGAGGGTTATGCCCTTTGCCCATTTGTCTTCCTATGATGATGACGACGACGACCACGATGAAATGTTGAGTGTTGTGAGAGTGCAAGACAACGTTGTTGGTGCACCCAGAGAAGAAAATGCTGAGGGTTTGATGTTTATGGACTCGTTACATGTTAGCCAATCGTTGCTTGCAAACGAGTTGACATTTTTCAATGGTATTATTTCGGATAATTTTGTTGAAGCTGAGAATGACATTGCGATTATTAGTACTGACAAGGATTTGGTTGTGGAAGAGCATGGTCTGGACCAAGTTCTGGGAAATAAGGTAGCTTATGATGAATACTCTTTTGTAACCGATATAGATGTTATGTCGCTGAATTCACAAGACAAATTGAATGATGAGCAATTTAGCAAGGTAAGAATGGTATTAAATGAATTGGAGGTGGAGAAGGATGACGTGAAACTATGTGGTGTAGATAGAAATGAGGGAATTATGGTTAAGTTGACTGAGGCTGACACCGTAGTGCAAAGGAAGTTGGAGGTTGCCACCCGCAAGAACACTGACATGGTGGAAGGAACTTCTATTATGGTTGGTGACACCAGCTTATTGAAGTCCAATGCTGAGGATTATAAAGACAGCTTAATGCCCGAACATAATACAAGTGTTAACTATCCACAAGAACAAAATTCCCAAATGCATAGTATGACAAGTGAACCTTTATCAGATGCATTTGCTGAAAATATTGAATATAGTACAACAACTCAATGGACTTCAGCTAATGGAAAGGAAGGTTTTGCTTCTGATCAAGAAAGTGGGTGTGAGAATCTGGTAAGCATAACTAAATCTGTGATGAATTCAAAAACTAAATTGCATGATACTTCTGCAGGTTTTGAATCCAATGATGATGCTTGTGAAGGTAACAAAATTCAGAGAGTTGAGTCTTCTGAACTTTTTAACCCTACACTCCTTCAAGAGTGTACATATTTGGAAAACGGTTTGTCTAAAACCATTTTAGGTGTTAGTCAAGAAGATGAGCTGTTTTGTGACAACCATTCACATGAAAATGTGGAAAGGCTTAACTACGGAGACACTGCAAAAAAAGAAGCTACCGTTGATTTAAACACAGTAAGTCAAGAATCGAACAGAGATAGTTCTACTTCGGATGGAGATGTGGAAGGGTTGATGTCAGTTGGTCTGGAGCAGTTCAGGGAACAAATTTCAGCTCTCTCTATTCTTTTGGGTTCAAAAGGTTCTCGAAAGAACTCTCAAGAAGAACAGATTGTCAGGAGTTCACATGGAAAAATGAACTTACCAAAGGATGATGCGAAAAGTCAATCAATTTATGTTGATACTGCTGGTGAATTAGATGCCAACACAGTTACATTCACCTCTGCTGATGAATCCAGTGTTATCTTTAACAAAGATCCTGCCAGTTTTAGTTCCATACCAGATTGTGATGCTCAAGCTGGATTCAAACACAATATAAGTGAAAAAGAAAAGGAAAAAATACAGAAAGTACAGACCGTAAGTGTGAAATTCTTGAGGCTTGTCCAGCGAATGAATCTATCTCTTGAAGATTCTTTGGTTTCAAAGGTTTTATGCAGGTTGGTTGCTGATATTAGAAGGCGCTCGAATCAGGAATTTGTCATTAAGTCAGCCAACATATTAGCGAAGAGGCTTGAAGAAGATTGTCAAGATGATTTAGACTTCTCTTTGAACATTCTAGTTCTTGGGAGAAGTGGGGTGGGAAAGAGTGCAACCATAAATTCTATTTTTGGTGATATGAAGGTTGTGACAAATGCATTTGAACCAGCCACAACCTCTGTAAAAGAGGTTTTTGGAACTATAGATGGAGTCAAGATCAGAATCCTTGACACACCTGGTCTCAGGTCCCCTTTGAAGGAACAAGCTTTCAACAGAAAGATATTCTCATCTATAAAAAGGTATATGAATAAGTTTCCTCTAGATGTCATTCTCTATGTTGATAGAGTAGATGCCCAAACCAGAGATCTTAATGATTTGCCAATATTAAGGTCCATCACAAATTCTCTCAGTCCATCAATATGGCAACATACAATTCTTACTCTGACCCATGCTGCTTCTGCTCCTTTTGATGGACCATCAGGATCCCCTCTGAGCTATGAAGTATTTGTTGCACAAAAATCCTATCTAGTTCAACAATCAATCACCCAAGCAGTAGGTGATATGTGTCAATTGAGTTCAAGTTTCATGTGTCCAGTGTCCCTTGTCGAGAACCATCCATTATGTGGAAAGAATATATGTGGGGACTGTGTGCTTCCCAATGGACTTAGATGGAGAAGCCAATTATTAGCTTTGTGTTTCTCTTTGAAGATCCTATCTGAAGTGTCTTCTGTTTCAGGACCTCAAACTCTCTTTGATCATTGGAAGCATTTTTTCTTCCAGGACCATTCCCGCCCTATGTGCCATCTGTTTTCTTCTTTGTTACAGTCTCCTCCTCATCTAAAATTCTCTTCCAATTGGAATTGACTTAGATGTTAACTTGGCAAATGAATATGGGAATGAATGTAACCATGATCTTCATCGTCAGACTGTCTGCATTGTAAGAAATCTTACTAGTTATAGAGTAGCTTTGTTGCTCATTTTTCTGTCGAAACCATATATAATGAAGAGAGTTAAATTTTCCTCTTGACATAAACCATAAATTGCAATTAGCATTTTCTACATGTGTAACTACTGAAAAATAATGCCCTTTTTAGTAGTTAATTGAATTTTTGTCATAATTACATAATCAATATTTCATGAAAATATCATCGAGTCATTTATAAGTTGTCTATTTTTAGTTTATTTTGTATTCTTGGAAAACTTTAAAAAATACTTAAAAGGGGAAAATAAATTCACTTTCCTTATTGGTAGAAAAGAGAAATAAAAGATACAGAAATGTGGTTATAATTTATGGTAGAAATTTTTTACGTTATTCGAGTGTAGATGATAATTGTTGGAAATTATTTATGAATTCTTGTTGAGGATAACTTTAATGATTTAACATTCTTCTAATGGAACAAGACCATACAAATCATTATTATTTTAGGTCTTGATTTCTCGATATTTTGTAAACACATTATTTGTCATTAGATATTCATGAGATAAATTGTTTAAAAATTATAAATTAGATATAATTATCATTAAAATTAATATTTATGCATTTTAAATTTTAGTCAATTCATATTTAGTTATTTAAGTTTAATTTTCTTTTAGTTGTTCTAAATTTTATTATTTACGTCCCATATTAATGAAGTTTTTCAATATCTAAGTCGTGTCTGGATTGATGAAAAAAGATGGAATAAAGTCGTATGAAACATATTGACATCGGTTGTCTTTATTTGGATTATTTTTTATTTTTTTTGGTACTAATCTTTATTTGGATTATTAAAAATAAGATGAAATGTAATTGAATATATTTTGCTCATTTCTTTAATCACTACTGTTTTTTTCTTTCCTAATTTGGGAATATTAGATGAAATGAAATCAAATTAACTTGTTGACCACTAATCTCAGTATCATTTTAACCATTTTCGAAACAGTGAAATAAAATTTTTAGTATTTTTCGTCATAAAATATCGTAAACGATTGGTATAATAATATTATTTTATTTCATTCAATCCTATTTCACTTAATCTCGAGTCCTTATTGTAGTGAAAAAATGTTTCTCTTCCCTTAGAGATAAGATTATGGGATTTGTATTTATCATGTAATATGATCACAAAAAATTTCTTACATACACAATATTTTGTGGGGCTCATACTTTTTGAGGCAAAAAAAAAAATTACGGCACGGAAAACGAATCTCTATAACATAACACAATCACTTTTTCTACAACATAACTTTTATAAAACCTTAAAATTATATTCAGCAACTCTAAAATTAAATTATTTTGGGAATTGAGAGAATTAATAAAAAATATTTTAAAAATTTTATTTATTTCTTTGTTATATAAATTTTATCAAAATATTCTTTATTAATTCTCTCATCTCCCAAAACAATATAATTTTCAATTTTGTGGTTGTTAGAGATGATTATGCTAACGATAAACCCCAATTATATATGTAAAATAGCCTAAAACTTAACTACACGATATTATCTTAACTTGTAACTTTTATTTAAAATATTTATTATCTAAAGATATTAATATTTTTAATAGCTTAGTCAATGTGTATTTTTAACATACATGCTTAAAAATAAGAAAACTAACATTTATCATTAATCTTAATTACTTTGAAAACATTAAATATTTTTAATATATGAAATGCTTGTCCAAGTGCCACCCACATAAACAAAAAAAAAAAAAAAAAAAAAAATCATTTTCTAAAATTATCAACACAGAACATTAAATCACTAATAATGATTTTTGAGCGAAATTTACAACATGCAACTAGAAAACTACAAATACTTGTTGCGAAAAATGCAAAGGCAAGAAAAGAAATGGTGAGGCTTAGGTTGGAGTTATCCGAATGATGTTTTTGTTTTTCCCTCCTCGCTGAGCTGAGAAGCTTATGCATATTCCCACCATGTCTGTTCTCAAATCCCTCACTTCAAATTCCTCTGCTTTCAATTTCAAACCAACGCCAACCACCATGGCGCAAAACTCACCTTACAGGGTATGCTATCGTTTCTCAAGTATTGGTTTTCCTTCAGTCTCTAACGGAGCATTGTATTTTTTTATTTTATTTTTTTATCCACTTTGACCCACTAAATCAAGAAGAACACAATCAAATTTGAGCTTGCCTATGCCTTCGATTAACACGTTTGTCATAATGGGTTGCCTTACTTTATATAAAAGTTTTGTACTTGTGCGTTTTGTCACTGAAATCAAATTGCTTTCCTTTGTTTGATCATGCATTGAATGTGTAGGGTGGTCTTTTGCTTTTTTGCTCGCGACAGATGACGTGCTCGATAAATTGTCGAAGACAAATTTGAAATGGTTCTTTGCTTTTACGAAAGTAAAGTGTTCGCGAATCTTTTATGTTCACCGTAAAAATATGGAATATGCTTGTGCTGCTGTTCTAGTTTCACAATTGCAATAAAACTTAAAAAGGTGTCCAGATATATTTGTTGCTCTCGAGACTGTTTTGTAAGTTTTTCAAATTAGTATGGCGGAAGAAAAATTTAAGTATGTGGATTGGTCAATGGATTCTTTGTTCATTGACAGTTGACAGTTAAAGTCAAGTACCAAGTAAGCTTGCGTTTGACTGTAAAAGTCAACTAATTCCTTATTTCTGATGGTTTGGTGGATTAATCTCTCTCTCTCTCGTCTATATTAACCTGAAATACAATAGTATTGTCCAGCTTGCTGTTGATATGCTTTTTAACTTACTCAGGTGCTCTTACGAACAGCTTGTTCCTCCTCCAGAAGAACTAATTCTCCTGGCTTGTTTTATTCCCGGGGAATCTCATCAGTTAGAGTCAAATCACTCTCAAACATATCAAATTACTCTACTCATCCAAGTGACAATGTCTGTTCTTCGAAGCGAAGATCACGAGGGCCTGTGATGGCAGGAAAGAAAGCTGCTGAAGGTAGTATTTGCTATCTCACATTGCTTTTTACTCTCTCTCTCTTTTTTAATATACTACTGCATGTCATGTTAATTATAGAGGGTAGGCATGCATCTCTGAGCTTTGTTACTTCACTTTCTTTAACTTTAGGAATCCAGCAAGAAGATGGCAAATACAAGCACACCATTGATCTTCCCAAGACAACATTTGGTATGAGAGCTAATTCTACGGTAAGGGAGCCAGAAATTCAGAAAATATGGGAGGATAATCAAGTATTCAAAAGAGTTGTTGAGAAAAATAGTGGGGTAAGTTATGGACTTTCCTCTCAGCATTTTTTTCCTCCTAGTTATATGAACTTGTTAACCTACTTTAAATAACTTTATCAGGATAATTTTATTCTTCATGATGGTCCTCCATATGCCAATGGTGATCTTCACATTGGCCATGCGTTAAATAAAATTTTGAAGGATATTATAAATCGTTATAAGGTATGTATATTGTTATCACATGTGAAGCATTTTTTTTTCCAAGTCTATAACACATGCAACCTCTAACAATATATGTTGTATGCTAAAGTGCTGATGCACTTTCAAGTAAGCACTGATCTTTTGCTAATATTTTTATTTGCTTATGCTTGTGTGCAGGTCCTTCAAAACTATAAAGTTAATTTTGTACCTGGATGGGATTGTCATGGCCTACCGATTGAATTAAAAGGCAAGTGTTATTGTTAGTATTGCCAGATGGTGGCTGGTTCTGATTCTGGGTTGAGTTCAAGAAAAGTCTTGCATTAATACTTACTTCACATGTTTGTTGCATATCAAACTTGAAGAATCTACATAGTTCTTATTTTCCAATGATTTCTTGCTTATATATGTTATTGATAATTGACCCCTTTTTCTTAGAATGTCCATTTTCATGCTGAATTGATTTTTTTGCATTACATATAAACCACTCCTTATTAAACCCGACTAGTGAGGGTAGGGGTGAAGCCAATCTGTATATGCAGCCTTATCCTTGCATATTTGCAAAGAGACTGTTTCCCATATTCGAACCCATGACCTTGCAGTCACAAAGAAATAACTTCACAATGCTACATGCTTGCCCTATTTTCCATAAGTATATATTTTTTAAATAGCTCAAGTTTAACAATTCAAAATTTTTGGTTTTAATTTTTTCCATATGCTTTTTTGTCCCTATTTTTTGTTTTTGAAATAAGAGGCAATTTTGTTCTGGCTTATAGTAATGCAAAAAACATCGATCTTCTTTATATTAGACATGTATTGGAGAGGTCTTATGCCATATGATATAAGGGAGGGAATGATATTGTTGGTATGTTACTCAGGCATCACAGTTTATTCAGTGTGCTTGGCTGGTGTTGAAGACAATGGGTTGTATTAAAGTACTCATGTCATCTAATATGCAGCATTTGGGAGTGCTAGAGTTCCATGTGTTTCTCTGAGTTTTGTGATATTGATATCACTTGCCCTATTAACAGTTATAGATTTTAAAAAAATTAGTTTAACTAGACTTTTTCATTAGAAATCCATATTATTTACTCCCCTTACTGTTTTCACTGTGTTTGAAATATAATAGGAAGTGGTATGTTAATTAATGCTTACATAAGAATAGAATGACTTATTCTGTACTGAATAGACATTTTTCACATAAATATGGGACATAATGTGAAAATTGAAAATTCCCGAACATTCCTTTTGCTTTATTTCCTTTATTACTATTGATTTGCATAAACTATAATTTTCACACATATTTTAGTTTAGCTTATATTTCATTACATGCTTTATGATTGTTTTGAATTATTTCAGTTTTGCAGTCACTGGATCAAAAGGCTAGAAATGACCTCACGCCATTGAAGTTAAGAGCAAAGGCTGCTAAATTTGCCAAAGAAACTGTTAAAAATCAGATGTCATCTTTTAAGGTTGCTTCTTTGTTTTGTAGTTTTCTCTGTGATTTTCATGTCTTTATATTGCAGTGGTTTTTGTTCTATTATATACAACTAAGAAAATCACGTTAACTTTTC